TTCGTCAACCACGAACTCTACTCGCACTCCTCCCCTGCTCCTGGTAGCCTTCACAGGGTCTAAGTCTGCTTCACGCTCCCCTGCAGCTCCTGCACCTTGAACCTCTGCTTACGTGTCGTGAAGTTGAGCGCCTTGACATCCAAACCTTGAGAGATTTTCTTAAGCCTCTCACTTCTCCTCGGCATCTTAACACCCAACACATCTCGGGTCTCGTACCCCTCAACGTGTTCCTCCTTCGTAAGCACTCGCCCCTTTGCAGTTGCTTTCACATTTGATCCCTTCACCAGGATGTCCCCTTTCACAGCTTCAACTCCCATATACTTCGCATTTACTGCTGCTGCCTCCATGGCGACTATCTCCTCTTTCTGCTTCACTGCTGCCTCCACACTTGCTGCCGTATCATCCGTCTCCTCACTCTCATCATCCTCAACCGATAACTCCTCGAATTCTCCCATCTCACCATACTCAGGATCCTCATAGATCTCATCCATATCATTTGTCGCTATCACGTTCATCTCATAAAATCTGTCACTGAAGTAACCCTCTGCGTACTTCTCCCACTCAGGGCCAAACACTGTAACCTTGCCACTGTCATAAAATATCTTGCACCCCAAGTCATCAAGCTGTGACTGACTCATCAAATTCACCTTTAAATCCTCAACCAACAGTACACTCTCCAGTTTCACCTCTCCATACGGACTCTGCAGCACCACGTCACCCTCTCCTGTCACTGGCAACTTCCCACTGTTACCTTGCAGTATATAATCCTCACTCGACTCCCTCACATTCTCCATCCAATCTGACCTGAATGTCATGTGACGCGTGCATCCGCTGTCCATGAACCATGCCGTCTTCTCACGTCCGTCCGTCTGACGAACCTCCTTTGGTAAACGCACCACGTTCGCAAGATGCGCTCCTCCAAGGATCACATCATCCTCGTTCGCTTCCGCTACATTCGCCTTAGCCGCCACATTCCTCTGCTGCGACGGACCCTTGTAGCTCCTGCTGTTTGGATTGGAATAGCACTCTGCGGCACGATGCCCGTAGCGCCCACAATAGTCGCACTTGCCGCCAAAACCTCGTTTCTGCTGCCACTCCGCTCCCCTGTTTTCTCCATTTTTGTTCTCCACCGCTTTGCCTTTGAAGTTCCTGCTTCGCGGATTTTCGTAGCAGTTTATCGCCTTATGCCCCCTCTTTCCACACTGGTAGCACGCTCCAAACGCCTTCGTGGCATTCACCAAAGCCGGCCTTTCCTCGTCGACTTCCGTAGCTGCTACTGCCGCTTTCTTTTTCCTCATCTCCTTCACCGTCTCAAGCGATTGCAGGATCTCCTGCAGCTTCGTCAAACTCTCCGGCGGTTGGTACGCAAACATTCCAATGTCGGATTCCCATTCTTTAAGAAGGCCTTGGATGATATAGTCAATCATCTCGTGCTCCGTCTCCGCGGCTCCCATCACCCGCAAATCGTCGTTGTAGCTTTTCGCCCTGTTGATGTAGGTGATGATTTTCTCGCCTTTCTCCATGCTCAGCATCAGGAGTTGCTTCCGTATCGCCTTCTTGTTGACATCGTTCGTGCCCATGTACGTGGACTCCAAGTACTCCCACGCTCGCTGTGCAGAGTTCAGCTCCCCTGCAAACTGGTCCAAATCCACCGCGATTCCGTTGGCAACTGAGTGACAAAGCTGAAAGAACGCTTGCTTACTTAGCTTTTTAAACGCCGCTATTTTCTCCTTCGTATCCGTCGGGGATGGCGCAACTCCCTCCATCGTCTCCTCGTCGGGACGGTAGTACGGCAAGAGGTCCACCTCCTCTGCCCTTCGAATGAACTTCTTTCGCCACACGTTGTAGTTGCTCCCGTTGAAGCGCTGGGCTTCACTGAGCCCGATCGTCGGTTTCGCCACCAATCGGCCACTCGCAAGGGCCTCGAGAAGAGCCTTCAACTGCGGGACTCACACTGGAACCCGAACTCGCCTCGTCTCCCATGGCGTAGGCGTGAACGACTCCTCTTCTCCACTAATTTCACTTAGCGCACCAAGTGAATTTACGACGACCGACGCGACCGTTCGCCAAGCTCTGATACCAGTTCTTAGGATCGTAAACACCTTAGTCGGCAATAGTCTACTTGCTATTGCTTATCGTGTTCTCCACGATCTCACGAATCCAATGATATGCGCAGCTCTGCTTGAAGTTGTCAATACACACTTCAGCAATTTTCAGAATCTCCAAGTTATGATTTCCAGAATGAGTACAAACAGATTTATAGTCAGGCAAGACACAAAATGCGATTCGTAACTTCACTTGTTTCCCAAGTAACCGCGTGCGCCTCGTTTCACCCCGAGTCGCACACGGAACCAAACCGAATGCACCGAACACTCCTCAAGTCCGAATCTGGAACCTTCTCGAACACGCCTCGAGCTCGAACCACAATTTCCCCTCGTCAACTTCAATCTCGATACTTCTTCACTCTTCTTCCTCCATTTCTCTAGTTTCTTCCCGATTTTTCTCTCGCTTCTCACGCCGTAGCTTCCATTCTCCACCGTAGGCCGATTTCCACCGTTTCACCTAGAATCATCCACGTGCTTCCATTTCGCCGTCATTCCGCATTTCGCCGTAGGTTTCGTGGTTGGGCGAACCAACCCTAACACTCCCGCCCGCGGCGGCGGCAGTGGCGGCGCTGGTGGCGCTGACGGGGGGGAATGCGACGGCCCTGCTGTGCTCCGAGTGGCCGGGCGTCACGTGCGACCGCCGAGGCATGGTCACCAAGATGTGAGACACGCGAGGAGCAATATGCTGGGCTCTCGAATATGCTGGCCTTTCGGATATGCTGGGCTTTCGGATATGCTGGGCTTTCGGATATGCCACGGTGGATAAGCGTATATGAGAAATCTAAGAGAGACTGATTCAATCCACTTGTGTGGTGCTGTGCGGTGGAGCAGAGATCTACAGGAGTATCCCATCTCTGCGTTCACCGCTGCCCCACCGGGAATCCTGCCTGCCAGCATCGGAGCCTTCAACGCCCTCCAAGTCCTGTCAGTCCCTCCTTCCACTCCCCTCCCCTCGCCTGCTCCTCCCCCTCCTGCCTCTCCCTATCTTCTTCCAATCTATCGCTCACTGTATATTATCTTCTCAAAACGATTCCTTTTTCTTGTACCTTATTTATTGTCGTCATTCTTTCGTCCATTCCTTCGCCCCTTCCTTCCTTGTGTTAAGCGGAATTTCTGAGGATTTGCAAACCACGCTCCCTTCACAACTCCTCTCTCCCCCACCCACTCAACCTTTTGAAGCGTGTGCAACACACTTTTTACGCGCCTCAAAAGTGCAGCACACTTTTTCCTTTTACTTCCACTCCACATGATGCACCTCCCTCCGACCACCCACCGCCTTGTTACTCCTCCTTCCTCACCCGCCTCATCTCTCTCCCCCGCCCGTGCTCGTCCCTTCCCTCAACCCACTCCTCCACAACGCACTTCTTTCTCATCAGGAGGCTTCCCGAGCAGAACCTCTCTGGACCCATTCCCACAGAGGCTTTTACAAACCTCACCTCCCTTCGTGAACTGTAAGCCCTCTCGTGCCATGAGTACTCCTCCCCCCTGCTCGCTTCTCCTGCTCGCTTCTCCTGCTCGCTTCTCCTGCTCGCTTCTCCTTCTCGCTTCTCCTTCTCGCTTCTGCTACTTGCTCCTCCTGCTCGCCATGACCGATCAATCCGCATGCCACCTTGCTTTCACGCTAAACCTGACTCATATGTGTGCATGAAGCGCATGCTATGCCTGTTTGCTTCGCCTCACCTCGCCCTCATATCCCCTCAATCCTCTCACCCCACCGCCCTGCAGCGATCTCTCCTCCAACCCTCTGAGTGGCAGCCTCGAGTTTCTCGGCTACCTGCCATCCTTGCAATACCTGTACGCCCCCGTTCCTCTTGTGTGTGCGCGGCTGATCGTCCCAGACATGCTCACCCCACGCCTCGTTCACTCATTCCATCCTCGTCCCACCTAATCCCCAAGTTGACGGTCAATCGCTTACGTCCCACACACACTCGACCCCAAGCAAGAACCAAAATTTGAAACCCCCGTGTGCCCCCCCCCTCCCTCGCACATGGCAGCGATCTGCACGCCACTGAGCTGACCGGGGAGATCCCTGCCGCCCTCGGCAATGCCACCACACTCTCGTACCTGTGAGTCACGGCCTTCCCTCACTGCATTGAACACAACTCACTTACTGGAGCTTCCAGGTGTGAGGAGAGATGGTGTGTAGATGGAATGAGAGGAGCCGCTTGTGTCATTTTTTAGTACTCTAGCAATAGCAACAGTAGATGTGCATCCAAGGATTGGGAGTTCCCCACATGGGAATGAATGAATGAATGACCGGGTACGCAGTTTGACGGGAAGTTGCGTGCGTGCACTGGTGGTTCCAGTCCTCACCATTACCATTGGCCGTCCCGCTTCTGTGTGCTCTATTGCATAGCTGTTGACTCCACTTTGCTACTCATCGCTCTCTTTCACCATAATTGTTCTCCTCTCTTCCCCTCATCTCCTCTCGTTTCCCCTCCTCCCCTCCCCTCCCCTCCCCTCCTCTCGTCTCCTCTCCTTCCCTTCTTTTTTCTCCTCTCCTCCCCTCCTCGTTTCTACTCTCCCGCAGTGATTACCACTCAGCACTATGGGCCATGCATTTTCCGTGTGTGCCCCATGCTGCTGTTCTTCTCGTCCTGCCTCCCATTCTGATACCAAATCACTTCTCCTGCAACATGTCCGATCAAATCAATCCGCATGCCCCCTTGCTTTCACGCCAAACCTTACTCGCACGTGCGCATGAAGCCCACGCCGTGCGATGTTAAGCCTAGACCGACTTCTAAGTACCACAGCCCACTGGAACTATGTCCGAGGATCTGATTACTCGTGCGTGCGCACAAAGCCCACGCTGTGTGTGCTACCCTCACCTCGCCGTCATATCGCCTCAATCTCTCATCCCACCGCCCGCTCATCCTCTCACCCCATCCCCGGCAGCGATCTCTCCTCCAACGCTTTGAACGGCAGCCTGGGGTTTCTTGCCTACCTGCCCTCCTTGCAATACCTGTACGCCCCCGTTCCTCTCGTGTGCGCACTTCTGCTCATCCCAGACATGCTCACATCACCCCCCACCTTGTTCATCCCACATGTCATTCCATACTCATCCCACTTATTCCCAAGTTGCCGCTCAATCGCTTACGTCCCACACACACTCACCCCCAAGCAAGCACCCATTTTGAACACCCGTATGTCCTCCCCTCCCCTCCCCACACATGGCAGTAATCTGGAGGACACTGAGCTGACCGGGGAGATCCCAGCCGCCCTCGGCAATGCCACCGCCCTCTCATACCTGTGAGTCACGGCCCACTCTCATTGCTGCACTCCCCACCCACTCGCTTACTGGAGCTTCCACCACGATAATGCGTTTTCTGTGCTTGTGTGTGCCCCATGTCGCTGTTCGTCTCTTCCTGCCTCCCATCGTCATACCAAATCCTTTTGGAACTCTTGTTTCCTCCCCCCTTCCCTCCCCACCCCTCCCCCACAACCAGGTCCCTTGGAGGTCTCAACCTCACAGCAGGGCAGCTCCCTGCCTCTCTCTCCGCCCTCACTAATCTCACTTACCTGTACGCAAACCGTGGTGCACGGTGCATCAAGAGTGTTTCCATGAGTTCTCTTCTCCTCACACTCATCGGGGGGGGTGACTCCTACTTGGTAGTAGAGTAGGCAGTGGTGACATTATGACCCTGAGATGAGTAGGTAAGAGGAAACAGCATCCGGGGGAGTGACGCATACACGCTGTTGCTTTCTCAAGCTTGTCACTGGTTCAAGTTGCTAGGTTTGCGTGTGCATGCAAGCAATGCCACCTGAGCCTTTTCTCGCCCGATGTTACTGCGCCCCTTCCTGCCATTCCCCTCCCTCATCAAGCAGGGACCTGAGCTATCTCGAGTTCACCAGCGTGCCATCGTGGATCGCACGACTCCCCCACCTGCAGTTCCTGTAATTACTTACCACTCCACCAACCCTGCTGTCCCCATCCATCCATCCTCTCTTGGCTTTTGACCGGTGGTACTCCTATGTTGCTCTTATGTCACTCTAGCAATCTCACGTCTCTCTCACGTTGCTGTTCGTCTTAGTAATATTGCACTGCACTGCACCACCACCACTATGCCATTCTTCACTTGACCACTATGCCCTCCCCTCACCACCCATCATGATCTCTCAACACCACCCACCTTACGGCCCCACCTCTCTGCAGGGATGTGACAGCACCCATCGGCCTCACCCCCGCCCGCTCCTCGCCCTTTCCAACCGACTTTACGAATCTCACCAGCCTGAACTCCCTGTGAGCTGCTGCCTGCTGCGCGTGTCCCACCCGGCTATGTAGTGGCCTTGAGAAAGCCAGCAGCGGCTGCAGCAGCAGGGGCGGGCAGGCACAGCAGCACAGCATGCTCCGTAGTTGCCAGCCTGCTTAGGCTGGGTTGACTCACATCAAAGATACACTCAGGTGGCCTCTTTCACAAACCCTTCGCCACTTGCGTGTTTGCCTCGTAGCATTCTGCATTTCAGTGCCCACTCGTTCACAAACCGTGCTGTTCTGCTCTGCTCTGCTCTGCTCTGCTCTGCTCTGCTCTGCTCTGCTCTTCTCTCCTCTGCGCTGCCCTACTGCGTGCATGCTCTCTCCCTGCTCGCAGGAGGGCAGCGAGCAACGGCCTCTCGGGCTCCCTCCCCGCCGCCATCTCCGCCCTCACCGCCCTCTCAGAGCTGTACGCCTCTCCCCTCACTCTTTCGGTTGCCTTCCGAATATGAACCTTTTGCTGTGACTGTCTCACTGAGGCGCAGCAAGGATGACACCAGGGTTTGTCCTACAGGCCCCATAGAGTGGGGGAGCCTGCTAGTGGCATCCCTTGAAAGGGCAGAAGACGGATCTGCGACTGCTTTTTCTTGGCTCCTGCTTTCAGATACAGACTCGTGCCCTGCCATCTTATCTCACAGCTTGCTACAGCAGCACCTCAATGTGCCTCGCCACGTTGCCACAACAGTGTCCTTGCTCTGAAAGTTTAAGAGTGGAGATTCTGTCTGTATGTATGTCCGCCCGCCCGCCCGCCCGCCTGCCTGCCTGCCTGCCTGCCTGCCCGCCCGCCTGCCTGCCTGCCTGCCTGCAGAGATCTCGCGTATAACAGACTCGCTGGCTTCCTCCCTGCCCTCCCTTCCACTCTGCTTCGTCTGTGAGTCAAGGACGGGGAAAGGCTGGGAGAGAGTGGAAGACAAGGGGAGAGGGGAGGAGGGCTGGAAGAAAATGGAAGAGAAGGGGAGTGGGAACAAGGGCTGATAGAATGTGGAAGAGGGGAAGGGGGAAGGGGAGGGGCATGGCATGTGGATAGATACTGGGTACTGTGGTGAGGGGGGTTCAGTTGTGGCTCCCTGCATGTGCTCCCTTGAAACCCAACCCTCTGCTCTGCTCGCGTGATGTCATTCCACTTAGTCAGCAGCGATTGCCTTTCCATCAATCACACACACTGACGGGCCTCCATCTCACAGGCACGCGCCCGTCCGATTGCTGTGCCCCCATGCGGTTTCCCATGCATTGTCCCCATTCTTCCCCCTTCTTTCATGTGTTGCCCCCATTGCCCCCATGCGTTGCCCCCCATGCGTTGCGCCCCATGCGTTGCCCCCCATTGCCCCCACTGCTCTGGTCAGCTCGCTGAGGCACAACGCCCTGGAGGGCCCCATCCCCTCTTTTGCTGCACCGGGACTCAAAGACTTGTGAGATGACGTGCATGGGCGTCAGGGGCATGTTGCACCATCACTTCTTCCCTATCCCTCGGGTAAAAATCCACTCTTTTCTCACCCTCCCTCCCTGCAGATCATAACTTGGCCGTTTCTTCCTTCCCATCCCCCAATCGCCCAATTCCCCCCTCTATCTCTCCCTCCCGGCAGGGATCTGAGCCACAACCGGCTGACAGGGCCCATCCCAGCATCCTTCACAGCCCTCACCTCCCTCACCACCGTGTAAGTCCGCATCAGGACACATCTCCCATCTCCCCTCTCCCATTTCCCATCTCCATCTCCCATCTCCCATCCCTGACTCGCATACAGGTGTGTTTTGGGTCGACTCAAGACACACCTTCCCACTTGTCCGTCTGCCCCAACCAGCTCTGCCCCAACCAGCCTTGCCCCAAACGGCTCTGCCCCAAACGGTTTTCGGAGCAGCTGGCTAATAGAATGGGTTGGGGCTCCATGCATGCCATGCCCATGCCATCCCCATGCGTTTTCCATCCCATTTCCATCCCATACCCATGCCATGCCCCCTTGCCCCACAGGGATATCAGCCACAACGCTTTCTCAGGCGGCGTGGACGTGTTGTCACGCATGCCAAGCATCTCCAACCTGTGAGCACCATGCCATCTGACCGCCCGCCCTCCTTGCCGTGTCATGTCGTTTTGAAGCTTACTCCTCACTGGGACACAATGCCGTGTACAGCTGGGACTCATGTCTCCTCGTTTTCGTTTGCGCTTGGGGTTCACATTTGGGGATGGGGAAACAAAGAGGTTCGAGCGAATGTCCTCCCCACACACCCCTTTCTTCCACTCTCTCCGCCCACTCTTAAGTCGGCAATAGCCTCCGACCAGTTCTTATGGTGCTCTTACTATGATTCAGATTGGACATAAAAACAAATATCCAAAATGAATGCAGACACAATCCGTAGTTCAAGTCTTCACCACGTTTTCTCCGAGCGTGTCTCGTTTCACCCGAAGTCGCACACGCAACCTGCCCGACTTCGCCAAACACCTCTTTCGCCATGCCCATCACTCGCCATGCCCATCACTTGCTGGTCCCACCTCCAATTCATCCCCCAGTCACTCTCGTTCCTGATACCTCAACTCCTCACTTCCTCACTTCGCCTCCTTCCCGTCAACTTCCACTTCTGCCTTGCTCGATTCCCTGCCCTACAGGAACATCGGATCGTGCAACTTCTCTGGCCCCTTCCTCTCAAACCTCACCTATGTCTTCCCTTTCTATGTCAACCTGTATGTAACGCCTCCTCCCCACACACGCCACCCAAGTTGCTCCCGCTCTCTCCTCGTGCTCCTCGCTCTCCTCACTCTGCTCCCTGTGCAAACCACACACTCGCTGTCCACCTTCCTACCTCCTCTCCTCTCACCCTCTCCATACAACCTGTCCCACTTGCCCTCCCTCCCCTCCCTGTCCGCCCTACACGACACTCTTCCTCCACCCTGCTTGCCCTCCCCACTTCCCGCCCTCCCCCCTGCCCGCGCTCCTCTCTGCAGCGACATATCCAACAACAGCTTCACGGGGCCCTTCCCTTCATGGGTGCATGCATGGGTGCATGCATGGGTGCATGCATGGGTGCATGGGTGCATGGGTGCATGCATGGGTGCATGGGTGCATGGTTTCTGTGATAGATAACATGTGCGGGAATGGTCCTTCCCATGCCAACCCCCCTGCCCCACACTCCGCCTCCTGTTTCATGCCTAAGCAGTGCTGGGAAGGGCTGGCCATGGGTGGGCATGGGTGGGTGGGCATGGGTGGGAATGGCTTACAGGAGGTTGAGAGAGGTGCAGAGGGCAATGGAGGGCGGCAGGGAGCCGGTGAGCTGGTTGCTGCTGATGTCGCTGGTGGGGGGAATAGGGGTGTGTGGGAGGGAGGGGTATGAAGGCAAGGAATGACAAGACTGAATGGAGGGGAAGGAGGCAAGGGAGGGAGGAAAGGGAGGGAGGCAAGGGTGCAAGGGAGGGAGGCGAGGGTGGAAGGGAGTGGGCTTACAGGGCTGTTAGCGAAGGCAAGGTGAAGACGGCAGGGGGCACAACTCCAGAGAACTGATTGTGAGAGATGTCACTGATGGGGTGGGGATGCATTGGGAGGGGCAGGAGGGAAGGGGGGGGAAGAGATACGGACAGATGGGGAGATTTAGCATGGACATTGCGGCAACGTTCTCTTCAACGTTTTGGATCACACAAGCCGGTGAAAAGAAGTGGCCACGGTGGTGGTGTGGATGGACAGGCATCGACGAGAAAGGCGAGAAGCGCATGCTGACGCTTGAGTTGACTGAAAGTCAACTCGCATGCTGACGCTTGAGTTGACTGAAAGTCAACTCGCATGCTGACGCTTGAGTTGACTGAAAGTCAACTCGCATGCTGACGCTTGAGTTGACTGAAAGTCAACTCGCATGCTGACGCTTGAGTTGACTGAAAGTCAACTCGCATGCTGACGCTTGAGTTGACTGAAAGTCAACTCGCATGCTGACGCTTGAGTCAGGCTGAAAGTCAACTCGCATGCTGCTGGGTGCTGCGAGCATTGTGACGATGCATTGTCAACACGGTCGAGAATTTTGATTCGACTCAACATGCATCGTATGTGTAAAGCCGATATACACCTTCTGATGAGAAAAGAGGGACTCACAGCCTTTTGATGAATGTGAGCGATGCGAGCTCTGGTGGCAGCGGGCCAGAGAAGTTGTTGGCCGATAGATTGCTGCAAGGCGGCAACACAGACAGAATAACGTGGGCCATAAGGTACAGGCAGGGTGAGCGGAACATCCATGCACCCATGCACCCATGCACCCATGCACCCATGCATGCAACCATGCACCCATGCACCAATGCACCCATGCAAAGACCACAACCACATGTTGCACGGTACTGCTTCTTCAAGCCACGCCAGCACATGCATGCATGGTCACCACTCTTCCCACATCTTCCACGATTGTCTGTCTATCTGCGCATTAGATTACTGTTGTGAAGCGCCCACAATGTGTCGTCCCGCCTGCCTCCTCTGCCTCTTTCCTGCCCGCGTGCCGCTTGCATCCGCTTGTCGTCCACGCCTCGTCTCCACACTCCGTCATTCTCCTCCTCGCCCATTCCTTTCCTCCTCCCCCTCTCTACCCTTCGACCCCCCCCACCGCCAGCAACACCTCTGGCTCGGGGCTGGCCTGCCCGGCAGACGGCAGCGAGTGTGTGGCGAAGCAGAGCAACGCCTCCTCCCTCTGCCGCGTCTGCTCCTCCTTCTGCTCCTCCTGCACACCCCTTGAGCGTGAGTGGCGCCCATACTCTGTGTGCAGGTGCTTTCTTGCTGCACCCACAGTTGCATCATGTACACATGCACACCAGCACGGCCACAAACGGCTGTCAGACTCTAAATGCCATGGCTGATCCAGTTCACGACGGACGTTTTGTGCATGCACGCAGCAGCAGTATGATGTGTGCATGTGCAGGTGCGTGCATGTGCATGCATGCAGCTCTTGTGTGTATATGTATCTGATAATATGAGTATGTGTGTGTCACTCCATGCATTGTTGCCCCACACCCCAGTGTCAGCACTCACGACAACATCGCCAGCACCGCCAGTGCTTCAGCCACCATCTGCAGCCACCCAGACTCCTCCTGCCCCTTCTCCTTCCAAGCCTGCTTCTCGCCTTTCCATGCCCACTGCTGCTGCTTTCAGCCTCTCTGCTGCTGCTGCTGCGGTTCTCTCGCTCCTTGTGTTCACTGTTTAAGAGCACCTTCTGCACATATCTGCTTCTCGACATACCTTCGGGCAGTACAAGGAAGCTGATGGTGTCGCCGTGTGCCACATCACCCTCGCGACTTTGCATGCACTCCGCAAGCCGGAAAAAGCGTCGAATATGATGTCGACGTAGACTGAGAGATGTGATTTGGGGGGGACAGTCTGTTTAGATTAGAGGTTGGCATGATAGGGAGGGAGCTGTAGTGGGAACATGCTCTAAGTATTTGCGTGTTCTTAGTAACAACATCCTTCTTGTTATGTGCATTTATCCAACTTATTAGCAGTTTCAAAACTCTGACCGTGTTATATTTCGTTTCCTAAGTGGATTGTCATATGTATCAGGTAAGAAACTCTAGATCGTGATAGTCCTCAAAAGCACGGTCCTTCATTCTCAACTTCTCATGACTCTGCTCTTACTGAGGATTTCGACACACCATCGCTTACCGGCTCACGGGATTATCCTTGCCGCAAGTCACGCAAGAACTTCGCAGGCCAGAGCTAACTCCCTCCCGTCCTCCGACAGAGTGGTCTACTACCGTCACCCTTGTCGAGTCTTTCGTCACAGCCCTTTGACAAATCCCAATTGAGAATTCTCCAAAGCCGCTCACATGGAAGCTCTCTCGCACGCCATCGCGCGCCCGTCACGGTCCGGCCTCCCACCAGCCGCCACTGGCGTCAGAAGTAACCTCGTAAGCTCCGCCTTCGCAGCTCCCTCGTGTTCGCCTCCGCGCCTGCTCCTGCGGGATCCACGACGGGTCCTCTCGGAAAGTTTTCCGTCGTTGTCATTACCCTATTCGCTAACGTTCGCCAGGGGGCCGCGCGCCATACCAGCCGGCAATCGCGTCGGTGGCGGAAACCGTAGAGGGAGCAGCAGCGGCGGGAATGGTCATAGGAGACTCTGCGCGCGCAACAGCACTGGCGCAATGAGCGAGGGGGAGCAGCAGCGCGCGGGTGTTAGGTTTCCGCTTCCGCGGAGAGGATTATGGCGCGCGGAGGCGGCGGGGGGAGCGGGCGGAAGGCGCGCTGTGCTCGCGCGGTCGTACCGGTGGAGCGACGACGACGTGGTGGCGTTTGGCGGAGGCGTGGAGGGAAAGTTCGAGGAAGCTGTGGCGCTGTTCAACGAAGGGCAATTCTACAAGTGCGTGCGGGCTGAGAGGGGGCCGAAAGCGGGGGGGAAGGGGAAGAGAAACGGGAAGGTGCGGTGGAGGGACTGGGAGACAGAAATGAGTTGAGGGCGTCAGATGATGAATGGTGGGTGTGGGACTGAAGGGGGTCGATATGAATTGGTGGACATGAATTGTGAAGGCCCAATATTGCTGATAGCATTGACAAGCAATAGGTCCTTTTCATGTGCCATCCATGTGTAGTTCTGTTGGGCCTCCGTGCCGTCTGCTTGGGGTGGATGGAGGTGGGATGCTGCATGAGTAACACTCTCCTTTTCATGCTGCTTGTGTGTTGGGGAATGATGTGTGGGATATGGGGAATGATTGTGTGGGATACGGGGCATGATGCATGGTGCATGGTGCATTGTATGCATGGTGCATGGTGCATTGTATGCATGGTGCATTGTGATGCATGGTGCATTGTGATGCATGGTGCATTGTGATGCATGGTGCATTGTGCATTGTGATGCATGGTGCATTGTGCATTGTGATGCATGGTGCATTGTGCATTGTGATGCATGGTGCATTGTGCATTGTGATGCATGGTGCATTGTGCATTGTGATGCATGGTGCATTGTGCATTGTGATGCATGGTGCATTGTGCATTGTGATGCATGGTGCATTGTGCATTGTGATGCATGGTGCATTGTGCATTGTGATGCATGGTGCATTGTGCATTGTGATGCATGGTGCATTGTGCATTGTGATGCATGGTGCATTGTGCATTGTGATGCATGGTGCATTGTGCATTGTGATGCATGGTGCATTGTGCATTGTGATGCATGGTGCATTGTGCATTGTGATGCATGGTGCATTGTGCATTGTGATGCATGGTGCATTGTGCATTGTGATGCATGGGACATGGCGCATGGCAGGTGCCATGACCTGCTGGAGGAGATGTGGCATCAGTCAGCGGAGCCGCAGCGAGGCATGCTGCACGGGCTGCTGCAGTGCGCCGTGGGCATGGTGCATCTGCTGAATCAGGTGGGCATGGTGCATGACACCCCATGCACGCATTGTGTACCGGGCAGCATTCATTCGCAATGCATGCTCATGGTGACATGTGTTGATCCCTTTCGTGCCCCACAGTCATGTTTGCCACGTGTCACGGCACAGCCCCCTTCCTGACAATCGCCCTTCCTGATCTAAAGTCCATCGTCCCCTTCTAACGGCCTCCTATATTGTCCCCACACCCCCCACCAACTCACAGAACCACAGCGGCGCCATGATGGAGTTTGGGGAGGGGGTGAACAAGCTGCGGCGCGCCATCGCCACCACGGGGGGTGGGGGCCCCTCGGGCAGCTTTGCAGCGTTTGAGGCGGAGGCGGGCGCCGTGCTGGAGTTCATCTACAACACGCAGCTCGAACACGCCGCCTGTGAGTGCCTGCCTGCCTTGCTGTTTTGAGGCTCATCAAAGAAAAGGAAGGCAGGCGCCATGCTGGAGCGGAGTTAGTCTGCACTGCACCACTCACCACTCACCACTAGTCAAAGGCAGGCACCATGCTGGAGTTTAATCTACACCACTCAGCTGGAGCACGCTGCTTGTGAGTACCTGGGGGCTTCGCCTACTGAGGCTTGGCACGCCATGTCCTTTGCCGCCTAATACCCCTGGGCGCTTTTGAGGCTTGCAGAGGGAGGCATGAACGGCACGGCAGGCTCTGTGCTGGAGTTCATTCATATGCAACACTCGCCTCGAATCTGCTGCCTGTGAGTGCTCGGGGCCTTTTGAAGCTTGCCATGCCACGTACCTCCATCCTGTGACTAATTCTGGGCGCTTTTGACTTTTGAGTCGACTCAAAAGTCACCTCGCTTTTGACGCTTGCGGAGGTCACGTACCTCCATCCTGTGACTAATTCGGGGCGCTTTTGACGCTTGCGGAGGTCATGTTCCTCCCTCACTCCCACCACCCCCACCCTTTTTCTCACGCACAACCCCCCCCCTCCCCTGGCAGGTTCCGAGGTGGAGTGTGTGACAATGGACGGGTCAGCAGAGAGCTATTCTCTCCTGGGCGACTATGGGGCAGGGCAGCAGCTGTACCGCGTGCACATGGACACAGCCACGGGGCAGCGCTGCCTCGAGTTCTGCTCGCTGCTGCCCTTCCACCAGGCTGTGGTGGGGGACGGCGCAGGTAGCGGGAGTGAGAGTGAGGGCGAGGGCGGGGGCGGCGCGAGAGCAGGGGTGACGAGGGCGTCTGTGCCGCTGCCACGGCTGACAGCCACTGAGGAAGAGCTTAAGAGCCTCGCGTGGTGAGGGGGAGGAAAGGCGATTGGCAGCCAGCCAGTGTCATTCCCTCCAGGCCCGGCCAGGTGAGGTTAGGGTAGGAGGGCCCTGGCCCCTGGCGTTGGGTGGGTGGGTTCTTTGTTTGGTCCACGGGTAGAAGGAGTGGAGGCGATTGAGGGGAGAGGGTGTGCTTGGAGGGTAACGGTGAGGTGTCGCGTGCTGCACACGCGATCCAGCCTCTACTGCCACCACGAATCGACGAATGCATGTTCTTTCATGATTTGGTGGCTCAATTTAGTGCCAGGAAAATATTGGTATTGTATGGTATGATCCTTCATTATTGCTATATTGTGGCCTGATATTTGTACATAAAAGCTTCACTTCTCCCATTCCTGAATCAGCACTAGCATCCGTATCAGATCAGCTGCAACCATTCAGCAGTTTTGTGTTGCAACTGCAAGTTTGCTTGAAACGCCTAGGGACAAGCACATCAACGAATACTGAATGGAGTGGGGTCCCTCCATTCCTTAGCCCCGTGATAGAGTAAGCTTGCTTGTTTCTCATGCCACCAACAGCATCAAACCACATTAAACTATTGAACCACACTACGCTGAATTGAGCAGGCTCATTCCGCGGGATATCGAGTCGAATCGAGCCGAACGGAATACTGTCACCACACCTGACCACCTGTTCTGCTGATACATGACTGGAATACCCTACCACCATACAAATAGCCTATGTATACTGTTTGCTACGCCTGGCGAGTGGAGGGCGGTTTGGAGAGGATGGAAAGAGCGGTCTTGATGGCTGGTATGCTGTCACATGCTTGGGCCTGCAGCGCGTGGGGGGAAGCCGGGAACGGAGGGTTGGCAGAGGGAAGGGTTGGCAGAGGGAAGGGTTGGCAGAGGGAAGGGTTGGCAGAGGGCAGGCAGTGAGATGACAGGGAAGGGGAGTGAGGAGGGTCATGGTGCTGGGAGTAGGTTTCCAGAAACACTTTCTGCAATGCACAGCACACATGCACACACACACACATGCACACATGCACACATGCACACACGCACACATGGACACATGCACACACGCACACACGCACACACGCACACACGCACACAAACACACACGCACACATGCACACAAACACACACGCACACATGCACACATGCACACAAGCACACACGCACACATGCACACACGCACACATGCACACATGCACACATGCACACTTGCACGCACGCATGCACGCATGCACACATGCACACACGCACACTTGCACGCACGCACACACGCACACACGCACACATGCACACATGCACGCACGCACACACGCACACATGCACACATGCACACACGCACACACGCACACACGCACACATGCACACAAACACACACGCACACATGCACACATGCACACAAGCACACACGCACACATGCACACAAACACACACGCACACATGCACACATGCACACACGCACACATGCACACATGCACACATGCACACATGCACACAAGCACACACGCACACATGCACACACGCACACACGCACACACGCACACACGCACACATGCACACAAACACACACGCACACATGCACACATGCACACAAGCACACACGCCCACACGCACACATGCACACATGCACACAAACACACACGCACACATGCACACATGCACACAAGCACACACGCACACATGCACACACGCACACATGCACACATGCAGCAGCACAGCAAGCTCACCACGAGTCTGTCTGCTGACCCCTGTATCTGAAACGCTGCCTGCATCTCACGGTCCACAAACCGCCACGTGTCATGGAAGTCTGCACATGGGGAGGGAGGGAGAGAGCGACGGAGGAGTGGGGGAAAGAAGGTGGGAAGAGAAAGGGAAAGAGGGAGGGAGGCAGGGAGGGAAGGAGGAGAGAGAGGGGGCGGGGGAGGGACGAGAGAGGGAGGGACGGACGGAGGGAGGGAGAAAGTAAGGGAGGGAGGGCAGAAGGCAGGATGGGAGGGCCAACCAAATCCAGCAGCAGCAGCAGCAGCAGCAGCAGCGATCATACCAAGCCACACAGCCTTTGACATCCACACAGCACACACCCCACCCCCTCCTGCTCTGGCATCCCTGCCTGGACAATCATGTGAGCAGTTGTAGCACCGCATTCAGTAGCTAGAGAAGCAATGGGACCTGGGCTGCTGCGAGCAGGGCAGAGCAGCAGCCCAGAGCAGGGTTGATCGTGTGGGCAAAGGAAAATCACTGATGCTCGCTCATGTGCGAGCAAGCCATACAGCTGCATGCACAGGGCGAGAAGTGAGAATGTGCAGCCGGCAGCAGCATAAGCAGATCCCAGCAGCATGCACCAGGCAAGAAGGCAGCGAGTTAGTGTCCCTCTGGCATTTCTTCTTGCGGAGAACATGCGCAACTACAGCCCTGATAATTAAGTGAGCATAGCTCCCACCTGGCGAGAAGTCAGTGAGCATGTGGACCTCCGCGGCAGCATAGGCAGAGCCGAGCAGCACACGGTAAGCCAGCAGCTGTGTGTCGCTGCACCGCACGCCCACCGCACTCCACATGCTCGCTGCCAGCTGCCGCCGCTGCCGCAATGATTCGCACGCGTTGGACGGCCGCGCCTGGTGGTTGGTGGGGAAATTGCAGGGACGGGGTGGGTTTTTGTATCGACTCAAAATCAGCTCCGCTGCCGCACTGACCCGCATGCGTTGGCACGGACACGCCTGGTGGTTGGCGGGGAGGGGGTGGGGGTTGTGGAAGGAAATGGCGGTTGGGTGGGTGGGAGATGCACGAGGGGAGGATTGAAAGGTGGAAGGGTTTAGGTGGGAGGAAAGGGAGAAGTGAGCATGGGAAGATGACACAGGGAGGGGCAAGAGGGTGAAGGGCGGCAGGGTGAGAGGCATGTGAGTCATGCTCTGGACTGTACACAATGACCCGCTACAGGTACCTATGTGTGTGAAAGTAGCATCCCCATCAAAGGTCCAACACGCCCTCACGTCCCCCGCACACCTGCTGCCTGCTGCCCCCCTCACCTGGATGGCAAGCGCCTGCGCCCATGAGGACGTGTAGGGCGCCTGCACGCGAAGGCGTGTGCGAATAGCAGCCGCCATGCGGCTCTGCAGCGCCAACGAGTCCCCCTCCTCGTACCTGGCCCCGCACGCCTGCCCTCCGCTGCTGTGGCTGCTGCTGTGGGTGTGCGGGGTGGTGCCGGGAGCAGCAGTGGCGACTGCGATGGGCGTGTGGGGGAACTCCGCCTCGAACTGCTTGCGACACCGGTCCATGAAGAACTGGCCGGGACGAAGTGGGGAAACGGAGGGCGGATGGGGTGGGGGGAGGGGAGGGAGTGGGGATGGGAGAGGGGGAATCGAAAGGGGTGTTTTGAAAGGAAGAAACAGGGCGGAAGGTGAGTCAGGGCAAGGCAGGGCAAAGGAGCGGGGTTGGGTTAGGGTGGTGCGGATGGGAGGGAAGGAGAGGCAGGAAGAATGGTCCTCAACGACGAAAGCAAGCCCTCCTAGTTCCACCAACCACCCCGCCCCGTCATCACCCCCCTCACCCCGCCCCGTCATCACCCCCTGCACCTCGCCCATTCCCGCAGTCCTGCAGACCACTCCCCCGTGTCACCAATCCAAAACCCCCGGGCAGGCACACCCCCTCCCAGCACTGGCATCCCATCCCGGAACGCACCTCCACCAGGTGCGCCTCCCCCCGGGGCAGCATTCCCAGCACGGAGGGCGAGAGGCCGTTGTCCCTGGCGCCCGCTATCAGCGCCGCACTGCTCCACCCTAGCGTGGGCTGAGGGGGACCGGTAGGAGTGGGTGGTTGGTTGGAATGAGCATGGATGGATGCGGGCACGAGAAGGCGGACGGAGGGAGGGAGCGGGTTGAGACAAAAGGAAAGAGGGGGGTTGGGCGGGGGTTAGAACGAGAGTAGCCAAGCAGGCGGGGACGGGAGGGAGTGGCAGAGGAGGGAAGATATGATGCACGGACGACCAGCACGCGACGGACACCTCACATGCTGCTGCGACACTCACTGACTGAACAGTCAGTTTTCTGCGACACATTGGGAGTATATCCAGACCCCGCTGCTTTCAGCGTGTCCATTCAGTCCAATGTAGTCCGCCCTGTCGTGTCTCACCACATGAGTCAATGCAGCTTGCAAAACTGCAGCCTTCACGCCCTCTCCCTCCTCGCCACTGCCACTGCTGCTGCTGCTGCTGGTCCCTGCAGAATCGCCGGCAGCAGCAGCACCAGAGGAATTCGCGCTGTGCGTCTCATGACCTCCCTGCGAACCCGCAGCTCCTGCCGCAGAGGACGTGTGAGGGTGAGAGGACGCAGCTGTTGGCGAGGGGAGGAGGGCGGCGGGTTGCCATGTGCGCGCAGGTTGGGAGGGGATTTGGCGTTGTACAGCACCGACTTGCATGACAGGCGGCGAACTGCTTCTTAGTGACAAAAACTGAAGTGTGCACATGAGAGAAACGAGAGCAAAGAGAGAACGTGCATGCACGCTAGGCGCAGTGGTAATAAATCGCGCATCTAATGCCCCCTCTGAGCTTTCCGGTGCTGCGTAGCGCCACACTCCTGGCGTGCTTTTCTGTAGGCAGCCGCGCACAACCTACCTGCCTCAGAAGCGTCCTCACTGCTTCCCCTCGAATCGCCGCCGCCACTTGTCACGTGCGCGGCAGCGGATGAATGGAGAAGCGCCACGTGGCGCAACACAGTCGAGGGATTCTGCTGATAATCCGGATTTCGTGGGACAGACATGAGGTCGCGTGAGGTGAGGGCGTGAGAGGAAGACAGACGAAGCGCGCCGATAGTGCTGCTGGTTACCGCGTTACACGCAAAATGGCTTCGCGAAGGCCTGATTGACACCCTGCGATCAGATCCAGCGAATTTCCCGAGATCGTATCGCGACCCCATCGCTAGCCTTTCAGCGAAAGCATGCAGTGCACGCTGCTGGGGGAGGTGGACTGTTACCGGTACTTGCACTGCCATTACCGCCACTCGTTGCCGTGGCTACTTCTCCCTGGCTTTGCTGGTGCATAGGCGGGTTCGGAGGAAGCAGTGGGTTGTGCACAGCGGAGGTCGATTCTAGGAAGTGGAGGAGGCTGGAGTGCTGCTGGGAGGGGTGAGGTGCGGTGGGAAGGTTGGAAGAGAGACCTGAATGTGAGGAAACAGAGGCGGACTCAATCACCAAATAGGAAGGCGAAATGGAGGGTATGCATAATGCACATTTCTACAAAAACATCATTCGATCGAAAGAGCAAAACGTACAGAAGCAAACGCTACCAGTCACCATGGAAGCTTGGCACGCGCTCACACGGTGCAGAAATAAGCACCCCTTCTCACCTTGCCCTCCTCTTCATCATGAGCAGTATCAGCACCATTGCCATCGCCAACATGAACATCAGCATTGCTGCGTGTGGAGGAGGACAGGGAGCCATTGCCGTAGCAGGCGAGGCAGGGAGGGGGCTCTGGGGAGCGGTAGAGGCAGAGCGCGCCGAGCTGCTGGTGGGGCGCCAGCTGAATGAGTGGGTCCCAGCTGTGGGTAGCGAGCGGGGGGAGGGCATAATGATGAGGTGAGCAGGCTGAAGTTGGGAAAACCAGGGGCGTTGAGAGAGAGGGGGAGACGAAAGGAGGATGTGAAAAGAAAGGAGACGCAGACAGATAATGTTGCTCTGCATGATGGCAAGGCATGGAGTGGCACAAAATAGGGTGTCAAGGCATGGGGTAGGACGGCATGGGTTCGCGCTAATGCGGGTGAATGCAGCGCATACACATCAGCAATGCTGTACGCCAGGTGACTGCGCTCTGCTGCAAAGGTCAGATGCCGCCGCTGTGCTGCGCCGCGTGCTCCAGCTGCCCTGCAGGGAAGCACACAGGCAGACGAGACACACACACAGCAGGCAGCACGGGGCCCGACGGGAGGGATGAGATTAACTCAACACAGAAGGCACACGGGTTTGGGGTTTCAGTGCAGCAGGAAGCGCAAAATGACAACAGCTGGTAGGAATCGGGCAATAGGAGCTTCATGGGTTCTTCCCTGCAAGTCAGTGTGCAGGAAGATAACACATGCCCCTCACCTCACACGCCCCTGCAGTCCCGTCGCCACACAGCCAGTCACACACATACGCGTGAACTCACGAGAAGGCAAGCACCGGCAGCACAAGAGACCCCGAGAAGAGAGCGTCATCATCAGCAGCAGCAGCAGCAGCAGCAGAGGTGGCAGTGAGAGCACGGGAGGAGAGAGGGGGTGTGGCGGAGAGGGGAAGCGGTGCAGAGGAGAAGGCAGCAGAGGCAAGCACTGCCAAGCCTCCTCCTAAACTGTGACCTGTGGATGGGGCGGATGAGTGGGGGGGACGGGATGCAGATGGGTGGGTTGGGTGTGAGGGGAGGGGACAGAAGGTGGGAAATGAGATGAGAGCTTGATGTGAGAAGATTGTCAACGTGGTCAGCAGCATGTTGCGGCATGTGAAGTTAAGTGCATGCACACCCTCACTCACTAGCACGTTCATCCGCACACCTCCCCACCCGCACCCCAGGCAATCCCAGCAGCAGCACAGCACGACATGCAACCGTTACGGGACAGGGCAGGGCGTCACCTGTGAGGAGAACAGGGGTGTCGCGGCCATATTCAGAGAGCACCTGTGGCCGTGCAGTGCGGTTGAGAGTGAGAGCACGGGAGGAGAGAGTGCTAATGCCCTGCACACCAAGGCCAGGGCTGGGATCGAGGCAGCGCACCCCCAGATGGCAGCGGACCCCTGGCCGCTGCACCTGGGGGACATCCTCCACACGCTGGAGGGCTAGAGGGTCACTCAGGGGGGGGGGTGAAGAGTGGTAAGTTTTGGGGCTTAAGGGATAGAGGTTATCATGGATAGCACCGCATGTTTGTACCCCTGCTGAATTAATACAAAGGACCGTTTGAGAGTGGGAGTGATTTTGAGTGAGTGAGGACAAGGCACGGGCAGAGGCGAGGAGATGAAACACGCACGGGAAAGGACCGGTTCGGAGGCATTTCTACGGCAGTTTATGTGTGTTCGTGCGAGAGACAATGCCGGTCACTGTCACAAACTCGCCTTTACGTTTCTGGAAATTCGAAAATATAAAGAGGAGCCAGACAGGGGAACCGGAAGTGCATGTACCATACACAAGGCGCGGCCCCCTTTCTTTTCCCCCTCCCTCTGTTTCCCCCATTCCCCTTCCTCTCTCCACCCTCCCTCCTCTCTTTCCCCCACTGAAACTCCCTTGCTCTCTTTTCCTCCCTTCCCCCCAGCCCCCATCTCCCCCCCTCACCTTCCCCACGAGCGCCAGCGCCTGGGAGTAGTAGTCAAGGGTGGCGGGGGGGAAGCGCGCGCAGAAGGCAGGGGGGGGCGCGGAGGGGTCCCCCCACAGCAGGTGATCCGCGCACAGGTCCGCCTGCTGCTGCCGCTGCTGCTGCTCGGGGGAGGGGTATGGCGGGGAGGGGGAGGGGGAGGGCGGATGCGGAGGGGGGGGAGGAGGCGGGCGGGGCGAGAGGTTGGGGAGGAAGGTGCCTCGGAAGGCAATGATAATGCGGGGAGAGGGGGGAGCGGAGGAGGAGGAGGAGGAGGAGGAGGAGGAGGAGGAGGAGGAGGAGGAGGAGGAGGAGGAGGAGGAGGAGGAGGAGGAGGAGGAGGAGGAGGTTTCGGGTGCAAGTGAAGAGGCCGCTTGGGACTGTGAAGAAACATCACCTCCAGCTCCTGCTGCCAATGCACCTTCGCCTGCCTGTTCTCCTTCGCCTGTATGTGCACCCTCTACTGCTTCTGCATCTCCCTCGCTTGCCGCACTGCCTTCTGAGCCGCGTCCTGCCTCGTTGCATGACGTGTCCTCCTGCACGAGGGGGCACGGTGTGGGTGGGTGGAGAGCGGTGCAGGAAGGTGATCGATTGAAATGTGCTGCATGCAGTACAGAAGATGGCTGGCAGGTGTGTGGATGAGGGGTGAGGGGACGCGATGAGATGGAGGAATGGATGAAGGAAGAGGGAGTAGGAGCATAAGAAACGGATACATTGAAAGGGCGAAAGTGGCCTGTCTTTATTCACCACGACCATCCTCTCTTCCCCCCAACCACTCTCCGCCCTCCTTCCCCCTTCGTCTCCCACCCACCACCATGACTGTCCCCGCTAGAGTGTGCCCCGTCCCATTACCCTGCGCCTTCCCCTACTCTCCCCCCAACTATCAGTGCATCTTTCCGCCACTACAGCCGCACCTCGAACACGAGCGCGTGCATGCCGCCGTCGATCGGCGCAACGGGCGGAACTCTTTCCGCCAGCCGCCACCCCGGCACCTCCTTCACGGGCGCGAACGACCAGCGGTACGCGTTCGCCGCCAACTCCGCCATCGGCGCAACCAGCGCGCGGTACTCCGCGTCGTTCGCCGTCGACAGTCGCGATAGCGCCTCCCATGACGATCGCTCACCCGCCGATCCCTCTCGCGCACCGCATCCGCCTTGCGGTGATCCTTCTTCGCGCGCGGACTCCCGTGGCGGAGATTCCGCGGAGACCGGATGGCGGGGCGCGGGGGAGGGAACGGCGGAGGCGGGGGACCGACGGTGTAGTTGCGGTAGGTGCGCGGAGGGGTTGGCGGGAGTGATGGGGGAGGAGCCGGTGCGGAGAGGGATTGCGGAGAGGATGAGCAGGAGGAGGGAGGGAAGGAGGAGAGACGAGAGAGGGAAGCGGATATATTTGGAAGGTCTATATGGTGGCGAGGAGAAGTGGGTACGCAGAGATGGGGAGGTGGATGGCGCAGCAGATGCGGTGGCGGCGCTCCGAGCAGCCATTGGGACAACTTCACATGGCAGAGAATGGAGAACGGGAAGATTTTCGAGAGCAAGGGCTGGAAGGGATCGAGGACGTTAGCTGGATGCACTACACCCGCAGGCAATGCGCTCAGATGCTGCAGACAGGATTGAGTGAACTCGACTCTCCTTCACCTCTAATCCTGCTACTCCATTCTCTAATCTTCCTTCGCTCAAACCTGACGAAGTTCTCCTCGGTGACGGCAGTTTTGGTGTTGTACCCCCCCCAAGGCAGCAGTTACACTTCACACCACTTTGAACCGTTAACCACCAGCCTCAAAATCTCTTCCAAAATTTGCAGAGTTAGAATGGAATGCAGCTAATGAAATTGTATGGAATTATCTGTGTTGTAGCATCAAAAACATCTTATTTGTAATTTAGACTGCCTTCAATTGCCTGCAATAACAGGCAAATGTATATTACAGATGCCTTTCAGTTCCTAAAATAGTTGCTGCAGGATCTTGTGCTAACCCTGTTTCGGATGGTACAGTTTATATCCGTTTACCGTACTACTCACTAATCCATTCGGAGTTCAGCATTCTGTGGGCAGTGGTATAGTTGAGTGGTGCAACCGTGTGTGTTCTGATCTTGTGTACAGGCATATAATAATAATAAGCATATAACTTGTAATATATATAGGCACACATATCACTTCAAACAAACTTGATGAGTGCTAAGAATACTAAATCAGCTACGTATAAGTCAACCCACCACTCCTGCAGCACCCACAGGCTTCTCGCTTGCCTGCATTGGTGCTGCGGGTGGTGTGCCTGCAGCCCGTTGCATCAGATTCAGAAGAAGATCCCACCACCCGTGCCTCCCACAGCCTGCTCGCTGGCCTGCCTTGCTGCCGCTGCTCTCAGCTGTTCTCTCAGCCTTCTGTCATTGGGCGACGGGGGCAGACACTTGCGCATGTGCGCAGGGGGTGGTGCGGGGCAGCGGGGTGAAAGCGAGGAAGAGGAGGGGGAGGGGGAACGGGGGGAGGAGGCATACGAGCGGCAGGAAGCGGAGGAGGGGGGGGATAGCGAGGAGTGGGAGGAGGGGGAAGTTTGGGAGGAGGGGGAAGAGGGGAAGGAGTGGGAAGAGGGGGGGGATGGGGAGGAGGGGGGAGACGGGGAGGAGGGGGAGGAGGGGGAAGAGACGGGGTGCGAGGAAGGGACGGAGGGGGGCAGTATGGAGGCAAGAGGGTGACTGTTGAAACATTCACGTGGGGCAGAGTTAGAGTCAAGGAGTTCTGTCTTTTGCTGCTGTTGCTGCTGCTGCTGCTGCTGCCGCTGGTGCTTGTGGTTGCTGTATGCAACTTGGCCGATGCCGTTGGCACAACCCGCTCCATTGTCGCTGCAGTAGCTGTCAGCATCCGGAGGAAGCTCGATAAACCGCCGCACACGCACAATGCTGTTGAACGACACACGCCGGACCAGCTTCGGACCTGCAGCTTGCTTCGAATCCGAAGCATCATCCTCTGGGCTCGCCCCTTCTGACTTCTGCCTGCGGCAAGATCGGCCTTGACTCAGGCAGGGAGTTAGGCTCGGCCGGGCCATGCAATCTGGTTCGATAGAGTCCAGATCTGAGCAAGATTGGCTTGTTTTGAGGATGGATACAGGGTTTACGGCTGGGCTTGTGCCACGGCTGTGTGTTAGGGTTGGGCGCTGGGCAGGTGCGGTGAATCTGGGGAGGAGCACAAGCGTGGCCGGTGCACCAGTTGGTGGTGACGGGCGGGTGGAGGGGAAGTGAAGGGCCGGGTAGTCATGGGAGCGTGAGGGAGACGCGGTGCAGGAAGAAGGACGTGAAGCAGAGGCGGTAGCTGGGAGCGTGGCGGAGGGAGGGGAAGAGGGCAAAGGAGGAGAGGAACCGGCGGAGAGAGCGGGGGAGTGTGAGGAAGGAATGGGTGAAGAGAGGTGGGGAAGAGTGAGGGAAGCTGAGCGGGAGAAGCGGCGGGAGTAGAGGGAGGAGGCGGTCTGGGAAGGGCGGTGGGCCGTGGCAGGCTCCTCATGCTGTCGATGCTGATGCTTGCCACCGTGACGCCGCTCCTCACGCTCCAGGATCGGCCGTGCTGCTGCCTCCGCGTGCTCTGCCGCACTCCCGGCGCTTCTCGCTCCTGCCAGGGCGGCGCCATTAGTAGAAGTAGTATCCCCAAGGTTGGCGCGCGGGAGGACGCCCTCCATCACATGCTGCGCCGCGCGCCGGAACTTCAGGGACGCCGCGAGACGATGCGCCATGTCCGCCACGATCAAACGCGAGTCGCGAAATCCGGATTGGGAAAGAAAGAGTGCGGACGGCCGGCGGTGAGATTGGCGGAGGTTTTGTTTGGCAAGAGACGACTGGAACATGGCAGAACTTGCAACCTCGACGGGCTTGGCAAAGTGAGATTGACCTCTAGACCGACTCTCAAGAAACATGCTCTTTGAGAACACGAATACCTCCATTTATCTCCGTCCAGCATTTCAAAAAGGCCAGGCGGTTCTCGGAATCCGGGAAAGGCGAGCTCGAGCTCGAGCCAATGATAGCGCCGGGACTCGGCGCTCACAGGCCAACCCTTTTTGGGACGGAATCTGAACCACGGAGTATATATTCGCTGCCTGGCTGGCAGTCAGACTTCCTCACGCAGGCCAACCCTTTTGAAACGAGATCTCAACCACAAGTGCATCTCATGATCTGCGGCAGCCCGAACGAGCAGAATCCTAAAACCTCCGCTTGCTCACATCGGTGACACACGGCCTGACTGAGCCACACACACGCCGGTCTCCGCGGCCATTAGTGGAACGTAAAGCCATTAGAGAAAAATAAAACTTTTACCGCCCACCACTATCTAGACTGGGATTCGGAAGCACAAGAGGAGGATGAGGCAAGTCAAAGCGTGGTTCGGTAAAACTTTTTGGCGGGCCCGCGGGGAGCAGCCGTGCGAAACGAGGCGGGGAGATGAGAGGTCTGACAGCAAGAGGCTCCAACCAGGATGAAATAGCAGATCTGATTGGCTGAAAAGGAAAACCGACTCGGCAAATAGCTATCCAATGGATTATGAAAGCAAAAACTTCAATCTACCAGACAGTACGGTCTACTACAGTACAGCGAAGCAAGCTTGCTTGCCATGCAAGCTGCACCAGTGGTGGACGAGCGCGCTCGGAAGGAGGAATGGCTTGGACTCATCTGCCTATGCCATAGATCCACCGTCTCGCAGGATGGAGCTGAGGCTCAGGTGACTCATCGAGTGAGTCTGCTCGCGTCACCTGAACCGCGAGCCGATAAAGAGAGCAGAGACCGTGACAGCGAGGAAAAGCAGACTCTTGGCTGGAAAGACATCAAATACAGATCTGGTGGTCCATACATATGCCGTGTAATTATGATTCTGTACAACGAGGATGATCGTGGTGGGTGGAGGGCGATCACGATAGGAGACGGCACATGGCAGCTCAAAAGGTTATCTATCGTGCGATGCAGAGGACACGTGTACGGCAGTCATTTTTGCTGGCGAGGAGCTAGGGCACTGCCAAACCTGAATGGCACATTTGTTGTTAGTATCAGTTTGTACAAACATGAATCTCTTAAGGACCTAAACATAAAGAGGAAAAGGAGGGAAAGAAAGACTCAACAAGGAGAAGGGAAATGAAGAAAGAAAGGGAGAAGGAAAGTGAAACTGCCACAAAGAAACCAAACGCAACACACATAAAACCCCCCCTCAAGATACCCAATCAAAACCCCCAATCAAGACACCCCATCAAGACGTCCCATCCCACACCCCATTCCCCCCCCCCCCCCCCCCCAATCACAACAGCGTATCCACCATGTACGGGGCCTCCACCCAAAGAGCCCCGCCTTCCACATCGACATCGTCCCTCTCCCGATCGACCAAGTCTACGTTAATTCCCCCCATGGAAGACGCCGCCCGCAGCAGGATGACTCGGGCCTGCGCACGTTGTAACGCCACCCCGATGAGCGCCTTCAGTGACCCTAAAAGATAAGCCGAAAACACAGAGTCGTCCTCCCGACAAGCCCCCCGCGACACAGCTAACCCCATGTGTGCATCCCCCTGCTGACGAAGCCACCGCCGAAAACGACCGCCGAGACACCCCCACGTCTCTACTATCAGAGGGGTGAACTGCACGCCCCGGTTGCGTGCAAGCAGAGGCGCGTAATCACTCGTTTTGCGACGCTCCCACTCTCTTGCCGCCACACCTATTTGACGCCCGCACTGTCCTAGCAGGGATGGAGACAGCGATAGCGGGTCCGCGACGCTGATCTCTAGGGCGTGAGCCTCTCCAGCCATTGGTCGTCGCACCGCCACATCAACCCGCTTCCCCTGCAGCACCACACTATCCTCCATTGTCACCACCCCCCCCCGACGCCTTAGAAATCTTCGCCACCGCAAACTTCACCTCATCATGCACCCGAGATGGACCATGCTGGTGCTTGCATCTCAGGGCATGATGCGGGTCTGCTGGGTCACCATACACTGTACAAAAAACACACGTCCCCGCTACCTGCAGCTGCTGAATTGGGAGCCCGAGCCGTATAGCAGCAGCAATGCCCCACTCGGCCGCAGTGAATGTGAGATCTGAGTGAGCCGGAACCGCCGAGACCCATGCACCCGCCCCCGGGCCCTGAAGGGATGTGAAACGGGCCAAGGTAGCATCGTCACGAGCCAAACGTCGCAGTGCCTGGAGCTCCTCTACAGCTAATTGCCGCTGCTGCGCCTGGAAAAGCCGAACAGGAGGGGCCGCTACACACAGAGGTAAGCCCGGTATCTCCTGGCGGATAGTCGCTGGCAGCTGCTCAAGAGCCTTGGCAAACCACGGGTCAAGAAACTCTGCCCCTGTCGAAGTGGTGAGGTACTCTGCAAACATCGCCTCCTCGCCCGCCACCCCTAACTATGCAATGTCACGCGCGGCCTGCGCCCACCCACAGACATAGGACAATGGGCTCAAAGAGGCCGCCGCCCGGATCCCGAACCCTCCGAGTCGCACAGGGAGATGCAGCTGCATGCGTGCGCGCCTAGACCGGTCGGGGTCCTGCTCCCAAGTGCCAGGTGGGAAAAGCTGCTCGAAACAATCCTCTAAACAGCTGTCCCAATCCCTAAAAGCCTCAACCACCTCCGGGCGCGGCGGCATAGTCCGGGCGAGGTACATCGGCCGCGCTGAAACTGCAATGGCGAGGAGGTGTGAAGCAATCTGGGGGTGGTCGAGCAAGGGGAGCCATGGCAGTGGCGCCTGCAACTGTCGAAGCCGCTCCCGTAGCCGTAACCTGAATGCATGTAACATAGCATATCGTAATATGAATTTGAAATAAATTGAAATTACTATACCAGTACACATACTCGTTCAAATTACTATATCAAGGTTCAATCTAGCAACAACAGGGGAGGGTTCAAAAAAAGTTAGCACACAGCAAACAAATAGTTGTAATATTACTCATGACTTAGCCAGCCAGCCTTCTGCAATGCAAGTAAAAACGATATGATTTGATAATAAATTCATACCTAAGAAAATAGGAAATTGCCACATAACAAAGAGACTTGTTTCAACGTCCAGAAAGCGTAGCTATATCTTCTCCAAGCTGCATCGCAGGGAAGGGCTAGACTTCACTTGATCCCACTTCCTCGCAACCTGCTGATTACTAAGACGAGATGTCTTGGCATGAGAGAAATAGGAGACACGTGACTTACTAACTGGCAGCTGTGGTTGACGTGGTGCATATCACATAGCATCATGCTATGTGGATCGAAGTAAACACAGGTGACACGCCACACATATTCACACATCACATACGGTACGATGCAGCACAAGGTGCTGCTGCTGCTGCTACTGCTGCTGCTGCTGCACCTGTTGCTGTAACCACTGCTGCTGCGGATGCTGTAGCAACCACGTATCACAATGAGCAAGCTTCATTGCAGTTGCACAGATGGCCATGCCAGGGATGCCTGCAGCTTCTCACTCCTCTCGCACCCCCTGCATCATTCGTCAGGAGGACACTGTTGCGGGCACAGCAGCCCCCCCTGTTCCATCTCCTGGTGCTGCTGCTGCTGCTACAGATGGTGCAGAAACAGCTTCGTCCACTGAAGATGCAACACCAGTCTCTCCTACTGAAACAGTTTCAGCGTTTCCCCCATCCTTCTCCTCAGCGGCAGCAGGGGTGGACGAGGCAGCAGCACGGGAGCCAGTGGCAGCAGCAGCACCACTGATGGCGGAGGCCTGCAGCTCCTGAATGGTGATGAGGTGGCGCGAGGACTTCCTGCGCTTTGTGCGCAGGCGCTTGAAGCAGTCAAAGAGAGGCACCTCTGACACCGGGATGAACTTGGCCACAAAGGCCAAGGGGAGACTGCACACACACACACGAGGGGGAGGGAGGGAGGGGAGCAGCTGAGTAAACTCCTGCAGCAAACAGGACTTTCAGAGGGCATGGCTGGGCATAGCATATGGCATGCACCGCATGGTATCGCGTGACACTGCATTCCTTGGGATGGCGAAGCATACAGACAAACAGACACAAGAATCGAGGACTTCAACAACAAGATACAGCCACACAGCCAGCCCAACAAGTTACCTGATGGCGCCGATGCCAACGCAGAGGAGCCACTGGTTCCAGGAGAGGGAGGTGGTGCCGGCAAAGGACTGGAAGACCTCCACGGCGAGCGCTTGGAAGGTGACGGAGAAGCAGAGCACGGCGATGAAGATGGGGCTCCTGTGCAGCCGCTCAAACACGTTCAACTTGTTGGGCCGCCGCGCGTTGACCTCGTTGAACAGCTGTAAGGGGAGGGGAGGGTGAGAGGGGCGAGGGCGAGGAAGGATGGAATGAGGGAGAGGGGAAGTTGGGTAAAAAATGAAATGGATAGAATGGTGACAAACGGGGAGACTGATGAGAGGCGAAAAGAAGAGCGGCGAAGACATAGAGTGGCTTGTTGAAGAAAAAGATATAGAAGAGACAATGATGGAATGGAACAGACTCCTGCAACAGGGAACCATCAACCCTCAACCCTTGAGAATTGAAGGTGAAAGGGTGGGTGAGGCACCTGGCAGAAAACAAAGGTGTTGAAGATGATGGTGTTGTTGAGCTGCTTGGGGTTGGACACGCCTCCAATGCCCAGCAGCGAGATGCCCCCATAGTTGAACACCAGTAGCACTGTCAGCTGGAATGCCGCCTGCGATGGGGACAAGGCGAATGAAGGGGGTGCGGAGAGGAGAGAGGAGAGAAAGTCGAATAATAAGAATGGTGGAGGATTGAGATGGGAAAGGAGGCAAGAGAAAGCAAAGCGGGTTTAGGAGGACCAGGACCAGGAGTCAAATGGAGGGAGGAATAGGAAGAGGGTTTCGTTAGGGAAAGCAAAGCGGGGGAACATATATGTGAGGAAGCAAGGAGAGTGTTGTGTACCTGGGTGAAGATGTTGCGCCACATGACGTTGGTGATGAGCGGCGCACTGCACAGCAGGACAGGGGGACACGTGGCGCGGTCAGATGAGTGTGGGGAAGGGTAGCAAGGAGAAAGGGGCGAGGGGACATGCCAGATGCGAAAAAACGAGGGAACATGGAGGCTGGAGGAAACAAAAAGAAGAGGGGAGGGAGGAGGTTTGGAATGCACGAAACAAAAGTGGAGAGCAGGGGCAGGCGACTCACGTTCTGCCAACGGGGGGCTGCTCCAGGAGGTCAGAGGTGGGCGGCTCTGTGGCGAGCGCCAGCGCTCCCAGCGTGTTCATGATCAGATTCACCCACAGCAGCTGCCCAAGGGGAAGAGGAAAAGGGGTGTGGATGGGACGAGGGGTGGCAGCAGGGATCGAAAAGGAGGGTAGCAGGGAGGAGAGGGGAAAAATTTGTTAAGTAGGGCGTTTGGGAATGTCCAGTGAGGACGAAGAATGAACTGCAAAGGTACGTTATGGAAACCCACTAAGGCATCGTGAAAGCATCCTTCAAACCGAAAATCCTGCACGCAAAACACAACTGGGCTCACTACAGCCATTCGTAGGAGGCAAGGAGGAGAACACACAGCCATACAGAAGCACATACGACGACACAGCCCTCTGCGCTGCTTCTCATCCCCTTTTCTTTTATCCATCCATCCACACACCTGCACGGTGGTGAGCGGCACGGAGCCATCAGTGAGAGCAGTGATGAAGTTGAGGGAGAGCGCGCAGATGTTGACGGTGAGCTGGAACTGGATGTACTTCTGAATGCTCGCGAACACCGAGCGCCCCCACCGCACCACGCGCACGATGGACGCGAAGTTGTCGTCCAGAATGACTATGTCCGAGCTCTCCTTGGCCACCTCCGTGCCGGATAGGCCCATGGAGAGCCCGATGTCCGCCTGCGTGGGAGGGGGGAGGGAGGGAGTAAAGGGAAGAGTGGAGAATATCTACGGATGAGCACAGGGCAGGAAGGGAGGAAGAAAGTGGAGGGAAGGTCGAGAGATGGCTTTGACAACCGCTGCTGCCCTCCCTCACCACCATGCATCTCCGCAGTAATACCTGGACTGCAGCACCTCAAAGAGCTGCCAGTCAACGCCTCGCTCAGACCTCAAACCCCTGTACTCCCCTATAGAGACTGCCACAGGCCTGCTTCCCTGTGCGCCCTCACCTCATAGAGCGCGGGTGCGTCGTTGGTGCCGTCGCCAGTGACTGCCACCACCTCGCCCATGCGCTGCAGCAGCGACACCAGCAGATGCTTGTCCGTGGGGGATGACCGGGCCATCACCTGGTGAGAGGAGGGGAGAGAGGCACAGCGATGTGGGGAGAAGGAAGATGAAGGGGGAGGGAGGAAGCAGGAAGGAAGCTAGTTCGAAATGCAGCAATTGTTTGTTGTGTCAAGAAACAGAGTGGCGATTTAGGTACAGATGATGTCAAAAGGAGAGCTTTCCCAACACTATCAAATGGCAGTGCCAATGGTGAAAAGAGGAAGAATGGAGGGACTCACGTCAATGGTGGGGATGATCTCCATCATGCGATCCAACGGCAGCACACGGAAGTCCTTCCCCTCAATCACAATCCCATCAGGAGTCAAAATCCCGCACTCGCGTGCAATGGCCTGTGCCGTGAGCACATTGTCCCCCGTCACCATGCGCACTTTCACCCCGGCTTTCTGACACCTCGCCACCGCCTCCGGCACACCCGGGCGGCACGGGTCCTTGATGCCCACGATGGCGAGGAGAGAGAGGTCGGTGTCTGGGAACTGCCAGGACTCGGTGTCGTCTGGGACAGATGTGGAGGGCACGGGGGCTGATGCGAGGGCGATGCAGCGCAGGGACGATGCTGCCATGGCGGCTATGGATGCTTGCACTGCCTCCAGCTGTGGAGAGGGAGGAAGAGGGGGCAGGGGGCGAAGGGAGCAGTTGGAGGAGTGGATAAGTGAGGGAGGAAAGGTACATGGGGAGCAGGAGGGGATGGGTGATGAGAGGACGGGAAAAAAGGGTAGCGGACCCTTGTGGACGGGAGAGGAGGGGAGAGAATCCGGCCTACAGACTTCACATCACATTGTGAAGATGAGACCTATCCATCCATCACCATGCACGCCTCACCTTGTCGTGAGTGAAGGCGACAGCATTGCCCTGTGCGTCCATCCAGTGGGTGCAGTTCGCCAGCACCATCTCTGCCGCGCCCTTCCAGTGCACCACCACGTCGCCACCAGCGCGCTTCACCGCCACGCCTGCACGCTTCTTGGTGGAGTTGAACGCTTCTACTGAGATGATGTCTGACGAGTGGCGCAGCCCGTTGTAGTCCATGCCCAGCTGGTAAAGGAGGGGGAGAGAGGGGTGGAGAGGGGTGGAGAGCAGACGTGATGAGAGTGGATTGCAATCAGTTTGGTTTACATACGCTGCAGGATTGACATGATGAATTTTCAGGAATGATCGTGAGGACATGCACGGGAAGGAAGTGATGGGCAATAGCGGAAGGAAACTCGGTTAAAGAGCGAGGGCAGGACTTACAGCGAGCGCCCACTGGATGATGACCGTCTCTGTAGGGCTTGCCGATACCTGCGCTTCGCCCCCGTTCTGCATGCACACGTGGGGTGGTTAGCATTGCAGAGAGGTGAGCGCGTGCAACATGGCAAGGCAAGCACACGTGGCAAGAGACTAGGACGACGAAGATGCAGGGGGGCTGGAGGGAAAGCGTGGGAAACTTTTGAGATGTCTCGACAAATGCACAGGGGCTGGAAGGGAAGCGTAGAGAACTTCCGGAATGTCAAAAGCCATGCCATGCCACCCCATGCGACGCAATTTGCTGCGTCACCTCCCGCCACAGCATGCAGCAACGTACCTCAGGAATGAAGACCGTTCCTGTGCTGTTCTGCGCCACGCCCTCCAGAATAACCTGCGACAGCAGCCAATCGCACGCGCACACACCAGAACGGCTAATGAGTTTTGTCACTTCAAGAAACCGAGGCAAGAAGAACCTACACGAACAAAGACCGAGGGCTGCTTGCGACACACATGTCGCAACATGACTGGCGAATGTGAGAGCAGAAAGGGAGGGGAGGTTTCAAGGAAAGCGAATCGCTACTAATTATATGATTATATTGCAAAGGAAGTGTTGTGAGACCTGAAGGAGAGGCGAGGAGGGGTCGAAGTTGTTGATGGCGTCAGGCTTGTGCAGCTCCCCTCCTTGCCACTCCCGCACCACCGTCATCTGCCCTCCAACGAATGGAATACATTGACAAAAAAATAAGGAGTGAAGCAATTGAAGCACATGACATAGACAGGGAGGGAGAGGTGCTACAAGAGATGATGGCACAACGGCCTGACATCCAGGTAAAAGGAGAGAAACGGGCAGCCACTTGGGTAACATGGCTGAATGTGAAGCGAGATGGGTTGGAAGTCGGAGGGAGAGAGTGACAAGATCGGAAGCCGCGGTACAAACCTGGTTGAGAGTGAGAGTGCCGGTCTTGTCGCTGCAGATGGCAGTGGCAGAGCCCATGGTCTCACACGCCGCCATGTTGCGCACCAGCGCCTTGTCGTTCATCATCTGCCGCATTGAGTAGGCCAGCCTGCAGGCACGGGAGGAGAGACAGCAACAGCGGGACAGCACATGGATAGATTTAGAAACTGGATGGATTCAGAGGAAATGGGCAGGGGTTTGGGAGGTTGAGGAAAGAGAGGGGAAATGTGCAGCTGGGGAGAGAACAGACTGGAGAGCGAGAGAGAACGAGGCAGTATGGGAGGTGAGACAGTATGGGAGCAGCAGAACAAAAGCATTGTCGCAACGTGGATGGGGAGGACGAGGGACTCACGTGAGGGTGACGGCGAGGGGCAGCCCCTCGGGAATGGCGACGACAACGATGGAGACAGCAATGGCGATCTCGTCCACGAGGTCCTTGATGACATCCACGAAGCTCTGCCCGCTGTAGTAGTCCGTGAAGTAGCGCACCACCAGGAAGATGAGCACACACACCGCCACCGTCACCCCCACCTTCCCGATTGCCTTCGCCAGGCTGGAGAGGCGCGCCTGGGGAGGTGAGAAGTGAGCGTGTGGGAGGGGGTGGGAAGGGTGCGCGAGCGGGTGAGGTACGGAGTGCGGGTTGGGATGAGACGAGACAGCTGCATGGATGGGGATAGCGGAGGTTGAGGTGGATAGAGGAGAGGGGCAGCAGCGGCAGCAGCAGGAACGGACCTGCAGTGGTGTGACGGACTCGTCGTCCTTGTTGACTGTGGCCATGATGCGCCCCCACTCCGTGTTGATGCCCACTGCTGTCACCTGCCGTGCCAGGATTCGCGCACACGCACACACACACGCACATGCAAGGGCAGGGAGGGGAGAGAACCAGTTAGTGCTGCCTGGGTATGTCACAAAAGAGCAGCAGAGCGACAGAAGCAGTGCCACACACGATGGAGCAGGGAGAGAGGAGACAAGGGGGAAAGGTGCCGGGAGTGCAGAAGCAGTGCTGCGTGATGCTCGCTGCCATCCTAGCGACACATGAGACGAGAGTGCGGCGGCGCAGCCGCGCAGAGCAGCAGCGCAGAGCAGCAGCGCAGAGCAGCGGCAGGAGGAGGAGGAACTCACGAGCATGGTGCCATAGCCGTCCACCACCTTGCATCCCGATATGAGGAACGGCCGGTACGCATCCTTGTGCATCTGGTGCACGCATTCGGGACACACCACCACACCACACATGGAGGGAGGACAAGGGCGATGCTCCGTCAGCCGGCCGAGACCAAGCAGAACAATACAAACTCAGGAACATAACCCATTGAAAATAAGCGGAAGGGTACGGATTTCCATCAGAAAAACGATTCCCTATTCCCCCCTACCTTGTCTTCCACGTTACTTCAAAGCAAATTCAAGTAGCCGGAGAGGCAGGCACAAGGAAGGAAGGGCACTCACGGGGTCGCTCTCGCCGGTCATGTATGACTCGTCGATGGTGAGAGAGTGGCCTGAGATGAAGACCCCGTCGCCTGGCACCTGGTCGCCTATGGCGAGCGGCACTATGTCCCCCACCACCAGGTCAAATATCGATGCTGCCTGGCTACGCCCGCCCCGGATCACCTGCAGTGGGGAGAGAGGGGTTCGAAAGACGAGGGTGAGAGGGGAGTGTAAGGAGGGTTGGAGAAAGGGTGTTAGGAGAAAGGGTGAGAGAGTGAAGAGTGGCAAAGCAGGGAGCACAGAGAAAGACCAAAGCAGAACAACAGGCGGGCAGAGGGGGCAGAGCGGGCGACTTACCTTGAGCTGAATATCCTCCTTCTCTGCGTCCAGCCCTTGGAACTGCAGCGCCTGCCGATAGTCCGTCACAGCTGATGCCACGCGAGGAGGGGAGACGGACACGGGGAGAGGAGGAACGGGAAGGGGCGGGGGTGGAGGGGGAAAGGGGGAGGGGAACGGAAGCGGTGAGAGGAAAGAACGGCAACGCTGGAAGATGGCGACTGAAGTGGAAGCGAGGAACGGACGGGAAGCGAAAGAAGACAGGGGTAGATGAGCGCGAGGTGAGGTGGCGAATGAGTGACTAGTAGAGAGCGGGCAAGATGCACTCACACGCAATTGCCCACCCGCATCCCCCGTCCATCGGCATGGCATAACATGATGACATGGCATGGCATGACATGACATGGCATGGGAGCAGTGCTCACCAGTGACGGTGACGACGATGAGCACGGCGATGCAGATAGCCACGCCCTCGTGCCACCCCTCGTGCGCTCCCTGCGCCGCCACAGAGCAGCCACGCAGGACGAGGCGCAGGGGAAGAGGCGGAACAACAGGCAAGCGAGGTAAGCAGGCAGCCTTTGGTGGAGGCAGAATTTCCGGCAAGGCTTCAACTGAAGCGATTTTCTTGTTACAGCAACGAAGCTTTCTACTGGGGAGACGAATTGAAGGAGGGGAGGACAAGGCGACTACGAGAAGAAGGGGAGGAGGGGTGAGGAGCAGGAGAGGGAGAGAAGGGGAGGAGCAAGAAAGGGAGAGAAGGGGAGGAGCAGGAAAGGGAGAGACGGGGAGGAGCAAGAAAGGGAGAGAAGGGGAGGAGCAGGAAAGGGAGAGAAGGAGCGGGAGAGGAGGGGATGAAAGGGAGAGGAGGCGAGGGAGGACAGAGGAGGGGAGGAAGAGTGGGAATACCTCGGCGATCATGCCGAAGAAGAGGGAGAGTGCAGCGCAGACCATGAGGATGATAAGGATAGGGTCCTGCGACGCCTGCCACACGAACCACTGCACTCACGCACGGGGACACACGCACGCAGAGGCGAGACGAGAACAGTCGGTACGGAGAGCAGGAAGGGAGTGCAGAGCGCTAGGCGTGAATGCAGAGGCACGTGTGGAAAGAGCACTGAATAGACAGGCAAGGAACTCACGGTAAAGGAGAAGGGAAAAGGCTAGTGCATGCACTTACGAAGAAGGGAGGGAGGGGCTTCTTGGGGTAGGTGTTGGCTCCATACGCCTCGACCCGGCGCTGGAGGTCTTCTGCATCGTCACCGTTGATCCCCAGTTCAAGATCCACGGCCAGACCCGCACTCAGACCCCTCACCTGTATGGAGTAAGGCGGGGGAGGATAGGAACGGGGAAAAGGTACGGTTGATACCTCTGTTGGCAACTTCTATAAGGAATCGTGTGGGCGTCGAGTTAGATTCGCTAGACAGAAAGAGGAAAACTATATGTAAACTGGTTGTATTGGCTCTATATAAGTGAACTAGAACTCGGGGACGGTGAGACCCGGAAACGGGGAGTGAGATTCGGGGACGCGAGACTGACCCCTCCCATGCGCTGCAGGTCGTCGAGGTTAGCGTTGGAGCTGAGGTTCACCAGCTGCTCCACGCTGTACGCGAACCCGTGCTGCGCTGCCACGCTGTCCTCTGCTGCCGGGGAGAGCGGCGGGCATGGGAGCGAGAAAGGGGAAGAGGTACAGCGGGAGTGAAGAAGCTTAGGGAGGGAAGACAGACACGAGGGAAAGGATGGAAAAGAGTAGGGTCATAACAGCGGTGGCGGTGCCGCCACCAGCGGTGGAAAAGAGGCGGTGACGACTCCAGCATGGGATGCACACCTGCGTGTGCGTCGGTGGAAACAGGGACTCCCATTTCCTGCTGGTGCTGCTCTTCCAGCAGACCCTTATCCGTCTGCTGCTCCTGCTCCTTTGGCTGATGCCCTTCCACGTCACGCCCGTCCACCTGTAACACACGATACGAATCGATCAGATAAGATACAAGAGAGGAGTAAGGGAAACATTGTATCACAAGCTCCTAGTCGCAATCGCTTCGGGGTAAACTTACCGCACAATTAAGAAGGAAACGAAAAGAACATAGAAGCAAGCCTGGCGACTCGAGGTTCAGAACAAGCTGAGAGAACGCAAACACAGCCACATCTTCCGAAAAGGCAGCCGGAAAGAAACTAACAATCCGAAAGCCGTCGTGCTGCGACGCTTCCAGTCGTACCTCCTCAATGCCACCATGGCGTTCGCCCATCGTCGTCGCGGCTCTTCTCGTCCCTCGGGCTTTAAGACTCGCAGCAACGAAAGGCCTTAAACTCGGGCTGTGACCCACGAGAGGCCTTGGACTGTTGTGCTGGAATAGGATTGGACTTGCAAGATCCTTCGCAGGTTAATCTTTGACTGCGAGGCCAGAAGAACTCAGAGGTGACCACGATCGCCTAAAACGTTCTCCGCTTGCTCCCAAGGCTGGTAAACGCCACGCCCGTTGTGCCTTGTTCTGCTGAAAGCTCGTGGTGAAATTACCAGTTGTTCCTAGGTTGCCTTGCTGAACTGTTCTGCTCGTACATGCGAATGACTTGCATCCATTTCTAACAGCCTGGGCCTTACGAGCGGCGATCATCATTGTGGGGAGAATTCGGCGGTTCGGCCTGAAACGCAACCCGAAGGAGTCACGCTGTTTTTGGTCGCAAAACATGGCGAAATTCTGTTCCGGGAACTCCAACAGGCGAGTTAGACTTGGCTGAGCGAGAATTAGTGGTGTGGCGTGCATGGACAGCCAACCCAGCGCGCTCCGCCGTACCAAACATTGTCCACCTGGAAAGCAGACTGCGCGTCACTTGCCTACTCCATCTGCGGCTGCTGCTGCTCTGGCGAACGCAGCGCGAGGAGGAAGCAGGCATATCACACATGGAGCACACAGGCTGGACTGCTCGGCGCGCTTCAGCGACTCCCTCACGTTGCGAAGGCTCTTAAAACCCGCGTCTCATATTTCTTGTTTCCAACCAAAGGTAATACGCTTGAAACCGGGTAACCAAACAATCACTCGCAAAACACTCGCGTTTGGTTTGGCGCAGGTGTGATTGGCTGCAAACCAAACAGTTTGGTAGAGGCAGGTGCCTGACTACCAAGCCGGGTTTGCGAGAAACAGGCAACTGCATGTGCGACGGACTGAGAATGGGACGCACAGCCCACAACCGAGCGTATTACAGAGCTGGAAAAATATGAGACTGCAAACCCAGACAGGTTGTAGGTGGAGAAACATACTCGCACCGATTTCTCTAGCGACTAAGTCTCATTTCAGCATCTTATTTTCCCTAGGTTTATTCCAGCGTCAAACGTGACAATACCTTGTACCTCTCGTTGTCGTTGTTTATTTTTATCTTTGGTCACTCCGCGCCTGCATTTGCTTTTACGCACGTATAGTCCGTCCATCGCCAGAGCTGGTCCTCATTATTGCAATAAGATGCACCACTCTATTTGGACCAAGGTGTATTGCAGTAACGCTCCCCCCTGTCGAATTTGGACGGAAGGGACACGACGGAAAGGCAGCAGTTAGGACGAGATAGGAAGCGACGCGACGGAAAGGCAGCAGTTAGGACGAGATTGGAAGCGACGCGACGGAAAGGCAGCAGTTAGGACGAGTTAGGAAGCGACGCGACGGAAAGGCGAGGGTTAGGACGAGATAGGAAGCGACGCGACGGAAAGGCGAGGGTTAGGACTGGATAAGCAGCGACGCGGCTGAAAGGCGAGGGTTAGGACTCGATAAGCAGCGACGCGACATTACAGGAAGCGACGCGACATGGCTGGAAGCGAGGAGAAAGGGATGGGCGTGATGCGAGGGTAAGGGGAGAGTCGCGAAGGGGTGTGGCGGGACGGTTGGGAGGGAAGGGACTGGAAGGGAGGTAAGGGGTGAGAAGGACCTCCGGGATGCGACGAGAAGGGGAGGGGTGGGACGGTGCGTGAAGAGGAGCCGGAAAGGGTAGGAAGGGATACTGTGGGATGCAACGAGGAGTGGAGAGGAGAGAAGTGGAGAGGAGAGGAGAGGACAGGAGGGGACGCTACTGGACACGACGGGACGGGACGGGAACGGGGGGGACCTGATGGGACGTGAGGGGACGCGACGGGAAAGGACGGGACGGGACGGGACGGGACGGGAAGGAAACGAGACGAGAGGGGACGGGACGGGACGGGACGGGACATGACGGAACGGGATGGGACGGGACATGACGGGACGGGATGGGACGGGATGGGACGGGATGTATGACGGGACGGAGCGGGAGGGAACGCGACGGAGCGGGACGGGACTGGCGGGAGGAAACGTAGGAGACGCGCCGATCCCCATACCCCTTTCCCTTCCCACATCCCCTTTCCCTAACCCCATCCGCCTTCCCCTCCCCCATCCCCCTTCTCTTTCCCCATCCCCCTTCTCTTTCCCCATCCCCCTTCTCTTTCCCCATCCCCCTTCTCTTTCCCCATCCCCCTTCCCTTCCCGCATCCCCTTTCCCTTTCCCCATCCGCCTACCCTTTCCCCATCCCCTTCTCTTTCCCTATCCCCCTTCCCTTCCCCCATCCCCCTTCCCTTCCCCCATCCCCCTTCTCTTACCACATCCCCTTTACCTTCCCCACACCCTCCTTTCCCTTCCCCCATCCCCCATTCCCTTTACCCATCCCCCATCCCTTCCCTGCATCCTCCTTTCCCTTCCCCCATCCCCCTTCCCTTCCCCCATCCCCCTTCCCTTCCCTCATCCCCCTTTCCCTCCCCCTCTGCTATCACCTTCTTTTCTCTTTCTGCTACCACCTCCCTTCCCCCTCTGCTGTCACCTCTCATCCCGTGATACCACCTCCCTTCCCCCTCTGCTGTCACCTCTCATCCCGTGCTACCACCTCCCTTCCCCCTCTGCTGTCACCTCTCATCCCGTGCTACCACCTCCCTTCCCCCTCTGCTGTCACCTCTCATCCCGTGCTACCACCTCCCTTCCCCCTCTGCTGTCACCTCTCATCCCGTGATACCACCTCCCTTCCCCCTCTGCTGTCACCTCTCATCCCGTGCTACCACCTCCCTTCCCCCTCTGCTGTCACCTCTCATCCCGTGATACCACCTCCCTTCCCCCTCTGCTGTCACCTCTCATCCCGTGCTACCACCTCCCTTCCCCCTCTGCTGTCACCTCTCATCCCGTGCTACCACCTCCCTTCCCCCTCTGCTGTCACCTCTCATCCCGTGCTACCACCTCCCTTCCCCCTCTGCTGTCACCTCTCATCCCGTGCTACCAGCTCCTCCCATGAAGCCAACACTTCGCCAACCCTTTCACCTTTTTCCCCTGCTTTCACACACTATTCCGCCAAGCAATCACTTCCCCAATTCCTCCTTGCCTCCTTTCTTTCCCCATGCCATGCCTCCCCTCGCTTTCCTCCCATGCCTCAGCTCTGTTTTCCCACTTGTCTCCCCTCTGCTTCCCCCCTTTCTCCCCCCTGTTGATGTGCTTGTTCCAGCATGGCGCCACAAAGAACCAGTTCATCCTTAGTTTTGTGACTAATGCGTAGATTCAAAACTCAGTTGTTGGCAAAGTAGGCTTGCCAAACCCGCCTAGTCTCTTGTCTTTCATAGCATATTACACTTGATGCTCAGATGGTTTCAATGCATCCATTTAGTTTGTAGCAATTGAGCACAGCACTGACCTAAAGAACTTATTGAATGTATACACTTGTGCAATATCTTGAAGATACGGGGTACATCTCTCCTCTAGCGCCAATCTCGCCTTCGTGCATCTGGCCGTGCATCTGCTGCTTGCCTGTCCCTTCCGTTCCGCCAGGCTCGCCTGGGACTAGCTTAGTCCTGCTTGTAACTGGAACAAAGGGAGAGGTGACGGGAGGAAGGAAGGCTCCAGGGATGAGAAAAAGGGCAGTTGAGATGTGAAGGAAGAGAAAGGTGGTAAAAAGGGGGAACGGGGAGAGCAAAAGAGGGTAGGGGTGATGCAAGGAAGGGAGGCTGGCACGCAAGATGGGAAGGAAGGGAGGGCAAATGAGAAGAATGGGAGGGGATGAGAAGGGAAGGGACAGGAGATGGGAAGGCATAGTAGGGGAAATGAAAAAAAAGGAGGGCAGATGGAGAAGGAAAGGGCTCTACACACTCATGGCCCTAAACACAGCACTCAACCTCCCCACCTCCTATTCCCACTCCCCCTCCCCTCTCTCACCATCGCCCACACCCACACCCTCCTCACCTTCCCCTGCTTACATACACCTCAGTTCGGGCAGAAAAGCTAGCAGGGTGAGCGCGTGGCGAGGGCTGGCTGGCAAGCAAGCCTTGCTGCAGACATTAGGAAAGTTGGTAGGGGAGGGGGTGAGGGTGAGTTAACAGGGAGAGGAAGGGGAGAGAGGGAAAGGGAGAGGGTGAAGGGGAGAGAGGAAAGGGAGAGAGGGAAGGGGAGAGAGGGAAGGGGAGAGGGTGAAGGGGAGAGAGGAAGGGGAGAGAGGGAAGGGGAGAGAGGGAAGGGGAGAGGGTGAATGGGAGAGAGGAAAGGGAGAGAGGGAAGGGAGAGAGGGAAGGATGTGTGTTGTGTCTCGAGGCGCAGATGGCAGTTGGGGGAAAGGGAGGTGTGAGCACCGGGATGTGAAGGCTGAGGGACGTGTGGCAAAATGACTTGTGCATTTTTATGCACATGCACTGAATGATAAGAATACAAACAGGTGCACACCCGCACGCACGCACGCACGCGCACGCACGCACGCATGCACGCTTGCTCTCACGCACGTGCACGCAAGCACGCACGCACGCACGCACGCGCGCGCACGCACGCATGCACGCACGCACGCGTACGCGCACGCAAACGTGCACGCACACGCGCACACACGCACGCCGCACGCGCACGCGCAAGCGCACGCACGCACGCACGCGCACGCTCGCGCACGCACGCACGCACGTTCGCACGCACACAAGCTTTCACACACACCCCACACACATGCCACTCGCACACAGACCTTTCACGCAATCGCGCTTGTCGTAGATGGACGACCCGAGCGCATTCTGAAATGCGACATCACCTCTCCGGGTTCCACAGCTGTAAATAGAAGAGTAAGAACGCATTTCGGAATGTTACGGACTGGCTACCTCGTAACAAGCGATGGCGTTGCGACCGTTCCCGACATTGGACGATTCCTTAGTCGCCAATTAGTGCGTTATCCGCAACCAGAATTTGTTCGCAAGTCCCCTGTTATCTGGTCCGAAATGGTCTCTAATATCACTGTTTTAGCGACTAAGGCCAGCATCTTGATGTGGAGGTACATACGTAGGAACCATCCTAAGCGGAGGTTGTAAGACTGACAGGTGAGAGTTTTGCTCTGCTTTTCCTGGTGAACGTGGGCGAATTGCGTCTTGTCGTTTCAGTTGGTCGCAGGGAACTGCCGGATCTGTTTTTTAGGTGTGGGAGCTTTCCATGCCTGAGGGGCTCGTTTGGTTTTTGCGTAGACGAACTGAGGTGTCGTCTGTGTTTTCCAAACTGCTCGTCACAAATCTCGCCTATCGTTACCCAATCACAGGCGCTTTAGCCCAACCAAGTGTAATACACTAGGAAATATGAGACCCGGGTTTTAATGTATGAGGAGGGGTTTCGTGAGGAAGGGGGGACTCTTCATGCATTTGGCGGGGTTTTTAAAGGAAGGGGGAACGGAGGGAGGCAGTACGCAAAGCCCTGGCTCTTGTTCGCTTGTGTACATCCACCTTCCATCATGCCAAACGAATCTACTTGCCGAAGCTCACCCGAACGACATCAAGTTTGGCCTGGAGAGCCGTCGGACCAAACTGATTGGTAACCCGCGATGGTGACTGGCCAAGCCAAGCTCGCCAAACCACATAGATTTGCAGCTTTGGAGGACCCGAACCAGATTAGGTGTGCAGTGTGCAGCTGGTGTGTGGTTGGATGGACTCGGTTGGGGATGTTGCTTGTTCTGTAGTGGTGCAGTGTGTTACACTATAATCTGAGCGAACGGGCGGATTGGCTGGTAGGTTGGGGATGCCATGTGTAAGGATGCATATGGTCGACTAAACGGCATATGCGCCTTCCCAGATGTCGCCTTTGGGAACCGTCTAAAGGAAGACACTGTCAATCGATCTTTTCAAAAGATCTGGACCTTTTTAGCGGTTGAAAATAATCCATTCGTTGTGTATTGCTATCCATCTGGTTTAGTACGTTGCAAAGCGGTGACGGTCCAGACTTCTTTAAATTCCCCATGATGTTCCACACCATTAGGGCGTGTCCAGCTCTTCCATTTACGGTTCATAAACACTTTTGGTTACCAAATATTGGCTGTAACACTGCATTATACAAAAAGGTTGGAAACGATCAGCTTTCGTTCACGAGACTGCACGCCCCCTGCACGTACCTCGATTTGTCTGACTCACGTTACTAGAATCAGCGTGCGCGCGAACAATGGTGCAGCATTACGTCCTGTCTGTTGGAATAACCATGGGTTATTATAACATTCCCGAAGGTTCTCCTTAGCGCACCGCTTCATAACGAAGCATCGCACTTGTACTAGTTCCGCGTTAGCTCATATAGAGCACGATAATGTTAATAGTCGCGTGTGTTACAATCCCAAGTGGGACTTTAGCAAAGGATCGCTCATGGTTGATCGCACGGTAGTGTTGCAGCGGAAGATTGAATCTCAGGTCAGAGTCAATGTAAATGACTGAGTTGATAATAGCATGCATACATCGGGTTTATATAAGAATACAAGGGAATTTGAAAAGACCTAGACTAGCCATGTACTCTGAGGGGTACGTTCCCTTATTGCAGCGAATTTAAACCGTGCGGCGCGGGAACCCGTTTCAAACCTGTTCCCGCTCTTTTCACTTCGAATGTTTCTGCCTGCATCGGTCTTGATCAGACGGTTACCAGTGTCGCTTCGGCTCTTCTGACTCCTCGGCTTCGTACACTTTAGAGTCGGTCCCTGTAGCATACAGGAATGCCTTCTCGTAAAGTTTCATAACGTAACACTCCCCTTCATTCCTGGGCGCGCAGGGGGCTGACTCGCTTGACCACTCCAGTGAGGTCGGAGCAGTGTTTGTACTGTTGACGTGGCAGTCGCTTGGTGAGGAAGTCGGCTGCCATCTCGGTGGTAGGGTAGTACGTGAGATCAACCTTGCCTTGGTCAATTTCGTCCTTGACGAAAAAGTACCGAAGCGCGATGTGCTTCGTGCGGTTTACGAAACCTGGCTTGTTCGCAATCTTGATGGCACTCTGATTGTCGCAGTGAAGGCGAAAGGTGGGCGAAGTTGAGATTTTCGCCTCCTGCAGTAGCTCCTGCAGATACAGACCTTCGCGAACTGCTGCTGTCGCGGCGATGTATTCTGCTTCGCCCGATGACAGGGCAACCAGCTCCTGCTTTTGCGAGTTCCAGGAGATTGGTCCTGTTGGTTCCAGGCGAAAAACGAAGCCAGTTCGGGACCGTCGATTTGCGGGGTCAGCGGCATGATCTTCATCCACGTAGCCGTTGAGGTTGAAGGAGGTTGTCGTCAGCGTGGAGTAGGACATCCCGATGTCAGGTGTGGAAATGAAATACTGCAAGGCGCGTTCCAGATCCAGCTGGTTCTTTGCTACTGGCTTGCGAGAGTACTGTGCCAGTTGGCTGGCAATGTACGAAAGGTCGGGTCGGCAGGTGACAGAGGCGAACAGTAGGCACCCCAATTTCTGCTGGTACATTTGGAGTCCTGCGGGCGACAGAGGCTTGTTGTCCGGTTTGTAGTTGGCACTGGGGTTGCGGTAAGGAGTTGAGAGTGGTGCGGGTGAAATGTTGAAGCGTTCCCCCAGCTGCTCTGCGTACTTAGAGGCTGACAGATGAATTGCTTCTGGCGCGTAGGTGATGTTTAACCCCAGAAACTGTGTGACGTTGTGGTTGATGGTGATGTCGACGCGCTGCGCCAGGTTCTCTTCGAACTGATTAAGAAGCTTGTTGCAGGTGCCGGTGTACAGCACGTCGTCGACGTAGACTGTCAGAAGGATGTAGTCGCCGTTAAAGTGAAGGCGGTACATTCCCGGGTCGTGCGGCAGCTGCCTGAAGCCGATCTCGAGGAGGATTTTGTGCAGATGCTGCTGCCAGAGACGCAGCACTTGCTTTATCCCGTAGAGGGATTTCTTCAGCTGGCAGACCCTGGGGTCTCCTTCCCCGTAGGTGTGTGGCTGTTCCACAAAGATGGTTGCATCCACCAACGCGTATAAGAACGCATTCTTCACGTCGATCTGCCGCAGTGGTAGGTGCTTAGCGGCGGCAATGGCGAGTAGAATTCTGACGGAGGTGTGACGACTGACGGGAGCAAATGTTTGGTCGAAGTCGATGCCGTGGCGCTGATCGTAGCCGCGTACGACCCAGCGTGCTTTGAAGCGCTCGATGGTGCCATCCGCGTTAGTTTTAAGACGGAAGACCCACTTTCCGCTTAGCACCCTCCTCCCCTTCACTGCTGCACGATCGACTAGGATCCATGTGTCACAGGATTCCAGTGCCTGTAGCTCCGCGTCCATAGCAGCACGCCACTCCTTGGCGTGGGGACCGGTAAGGGCAGTTGCGGTAGTGCTGGGCTCAGGTCGGCGACGTGATGATCCTGGCGCGGGTGAGTCGTCGTCATCGTCGTCGTCGTCGTCGCACGGGCGAGGCGGAACGCCGGGATGTTCGTCGGCGGGATCGCGGTCGAGTATTGCTGCTGCTTCCTCGTCTTCTGGAGATGCAAAACTGCGGACGCTGTTGACATAGCCGCGTGCCTCGTTGCGACGTTCGTCTTCAATCCTCTGATTCAGGGTGAGTCGCTCGTAGAAAACAAAATCACGCGCGGGAACAACCTCCTTGCTGTCAATGTCGAGAATGAGCTAGCCTTTGTGCTCGTTGCTGAGTCCCAAATGAATTCCCCAGCGCGCGCGGTGAGCGAACTTGCCAATTGTGGCCGAAGTCGGCCGATACTGCACCATGCTGTCAAACTTATATGCTATAGTCTGTGTAGGCTGTAGTGGGGTAGCTCATATGGGGTACAACACTTTAGGGTTTCCTACTTGTACTCCTCATGCTGCTCAACGCAATCATTCCTTGTTCTATCTTTCACATGGTTTCAGAGCAGGTTCCCTAGTGGAAACGTTTTTTTTAAGGGCCCACCACGATCGTTTTTTTTTTCCTGCCCTGCCCGAAGCGCGCCTCGCGCCTGCCTCACCTGCACCGTCGCGCGCCCTGCCCTACTGCCGCCCGTAGCGGCCCTGCCCTACCGGCCCGTCGCGGCCCTGCCCTAACGGCCCGTTGCGGCCCTGACCTCGCCGCCCGTAGCGGCCCTGCCCTGCCGCCACCCGTCGCGGCCCTGCCCTGCAGCCGCCTTGTCGCGGCCCTGCCCTGCTGCCGCCCCGTCGCGGCCCTGCTCTGCCGCCGCCTCGTCGCGGCCCTGCCCTACAGCCGCCCCGTTGCGGCCCTGACCTAACCACCCGTCGCGGCCCTGCCCTGCACCCGCTTCTGGTAAGCGCGTCGCCCCTGCCCTGCCCGTCGCGTCACCCTAGGGCACGCGCTCCGCCCCTGCCCTGCCCGTCGCGTCACCCTAGGGCACGCGCGCCGCCCCTGCCCTGCCCGTTGCGTCGCCCTAGGGCCCGCGCGCCGCCCCTGCCCTGCCCGTCGCGTCGCCCT